TTTAAATAAATTAGATATACCACATTATTTGTATTATATTTAATAAATACATGACATTTAAATAACATTAATAACATCAAATATAAATTAATTTTAATATTAACGACAGTGGGAGAGAAAAAATGCAAAAAATCAATTTATATTCTGTTATAAAAATAAAATTAATTAAAAAATATCACATAAAATTTTATTTAAATTTCTTAAAATATTTTAATTAGATAAATTATAAATGATATAATACACCTAGTCTGTCTAACTATTTCTCTTGAAATTCTCCACTGGATGTTCTTTCCCAGCCTTACCCTCAACCTTTTAAAGTAAATTATTAGTTTGGTAAAGAAACTATAATTAAATATGCATAAAAAAAATATTTTTGTTAGTCTATTATTAATAGGGACAAAATGAAAATTAGGGGGGCAACTTCGAATAAACAGTAGTAACAGTGATCAAGTGTTGATAAAAAGCTTCACAAGCTTTCACGCACATTAGCAGGTTTTTTTTTTAAACTTTTTTTAACTAACTACTCCCTTCATTTTTTTTATAAAAGAAATTATCATTTTTATATTTTTATATATGTAAAATTATATATTTTAATAAATATTTATTACACATTTATTAAATCACTCCTCATAATTTATATTAATAAAAAATAATTAATACTTTCTTTTATTAATTAATATAAATATTTTAATTTAAATTTTTTAAACATAATTATTATAATTAACTAATTTTTTAAATTATGTTATATAATTTTGTTTTTATATATAAAAGCAGGGAGTGCTGTCATTAAGGCTCGGTTTGACGTCTTTCATCTTCTCGTATTGTAAAGTGCATCAATATTACTGTAGAACAGTAGTTCTTTGAACAGTAAATGGTGGGATTTTTTTTTTTTTTTTGTCTTTCAAATTTTCCTACCTATAAAGTGGTAGGGCGGCCAGGCTTTATTTAATTTTGTACATGTAAATAGGTGGGTCCATTTTTTTAAAACAAATCAACCCTCTATTGCAATTAGCGTGCAACCTCTTTTTTATTTTTTATGACCATTTTTTATTTTTATAGTAATTTTTAATTATTATATAGCAAATAAAAAAAGATTATAAGGCATGGGACTCATAGAAAATATGAGTGGTGAATATGAAAAATACTAAAAAATATTCTTTTCAAATTATAATATATGACATCTTCTAAAAGTTTTACTTAATTTAAAATATAAAGTATTAATAATTTTTATGATTGTTTCTCAACTATACCCCTACTTCATTTATCACACTTTTTTAAAAAAATTATGTATTAAAATTTTAATTGTCATTATTAAAGCACATATCTAGAGTATTTAATAAGGAAAAAATTAAAACTATGTAAAAAAATTAAAAGATTAAGGTTTTAACTAATTTTTTTAGAATCATAAAGTAATTATCAATGCCATGTATTATGGTTCAGATCAAGGAGTATTTTATTAAATATTTTTTTACAAAATTATGTATATCAATGAATTTCAGTAAATATACTTTACAATCTTATTGTTTAAAAGTAAAAATATAAGTTTTTAAAAATAATCTTAATTTAATATAACTTTACTTGTGAAGCATAAATAGAGAATGAAATATAAGAAAAAATGAAGAGAAATATTGAACAAGTATAATTAATAAAACCTTAAACTATTTTATATTTTGAAATATTAAATTATCTCCAAGCGTGTTTTAAAAATTAGGATGGAGGGAGTATGTGTACCACAATTTCCTTTTTCTTTTTTATTTTTATACAAAAAAGAAACACTTTGTGAAAATTAATGGATCTCAATTTCAAAAAAAAAAAATCAAAAGAATGAATGGTAAATATGAAACTTATACATAATAATATTTTGATTCATTTCATGCATAATATAGATCATTTATTGCTTTAAAATTTGTTACCTTTCATGATCAATTTGTAAATTTTTTAAATAGTACAATTAATGAAAAATTTTTATGATCTATATATTTTTTTTACATAACGAAAGAACAAATTGTAAAATTTTTTTACCCTTTAATTTATACATAATAATAAATTTTGCATAAATAGTTTGATGCTTATTTTGAAAACGTAAAAGGTAACAAATTGTGTAATAAAATAAATTATTTATTCTTTCACCATGTAAAAAAAAATATAGATCATAAAAAATATTGCTAATTTAAATAACTTTTAATATACAGATTTGAAAAGCAATTGAACTTAATTATTATGGGCTCATGCTCCTAAAACCTTTCACTTTACAATTAACTATTTATTAAAATCAATATTTATTAAACATTTTTGGGTCGAGCTTGGAAATCCATTTTTTATTTTTTTATTTTTAAAAAATAATGTTGATATTATAATATTATATATTTATTATCTAAAATACAAATTATAATGTTTCAAAATCTAAAATAAGTAATATAAATTATTATTTCAATATGAAGTCCTTATTCCAATGTCACCTAAACCCCAACCTGTTTTTATATTATACTCTTCCTGTTAAAAAATATAATATATTTTTAATTAAATTTTATCTTTTAATTAAGTAGTTATTTATTTTTAAACTAATACTAACATTTTATATATATCCTTATTTGATAGGATATTTTACTCTAAAATATAAAGTGATTTATTTATGGGGATATTTTTTTTTAAAAAGACAATCATTACACTTTCAAATATTAAAAATATTTAATATTTTATAATATTAAATTTTAAAAAATATTTTATATTTTTTAATAAAAAGAGTAATTGAAAGTCCGTGCACCGCACGGTTATAAAAATCTAGCTTGATATAAATGAAGGACTTTATTTTTATAGGACTTGCCTTCCCACTAACAGTGAATTCATTCCGGCATGTGTGGCGAACATCACCTCTCACATTTCTTAAGGAACTATATTTTATATCCGTGTAATGTACTGAGAGAGAAGACAAGATTTGAACAGTAAGTTTAACTTTTAAAAATAAAGGTGATTTGATATTTTAAAATTTAAAATATTTTAACAAAAATAAGACTTCCTTATTATATTTGTTTCAACATCACCCTTATGTCTTTATTATATTTTATTTCTCTACTTATGTTTTATAAATAAAGTTATATTAAATTACATATATTTTTGAAGATTTATATTGGTGCTTTAAATCAATAAAATTGTAAAGTGTATTTTATAAAATTTATTAATATAAGTAACTTTGTAAAAAAAAATATCTTATAAATTACTTCCTTTAAACCACAACATAGGACATTAATAATTACTTCATAGTCATTAAAAAAGGTCAGTTGAAAGCTTAATCTTTTAGAAAAAGATTTATATCTTTTTAATTATACCCTTATTAAATACTTTATGTAAGTTTCACAATTGAAATTTCAATGCATCATTTTTTTAAAAAGAGTAATAAATGAAATAGGAATATAGTTAGAAAAATAATTATAAAAATTATTTAATATCATATATTTTAAATTAAATAAGGTATCTAAGAAATGTTTTATCTTATGATTTAAAGGAAGTATTTTTTAATATTGATTTCATATTCATCACTTTTTTTCATCACGGGTCCATATTCACCTTTCTTTTATTATGAAGCCCTTGGAGTGTTTTGTTTTTATTTTCTATATAATAATTAAAAAAAAAGGATTGGCAAATTTCCAAGAGCGGTGAATGAAGACATCTGAGGCTTCTATCAGAAAATACCTTCCTATCCAATGCTATCCACCACATGTATTCCCTGATTCCCTCCCCTTCGTGCGTTCTAGTGTTTGATATTTTTTTATTTATTTTCCAATGGACTAGATGAATTCTATGGAAAAAATAAGCAATAGAATATTTATTAAATATTAAATTATTGCTATTAAAATATAATATGATTTAAATTTTTATAATTAATTAAATAAAATTATCAATATTTACACTATAAAAAGAAATGTTCTTTATTGTAATTTGTATATTCAAAATTGATTATGGAAAATAATCCAAACATCTTTGATTTTATCAAAATTAATTTTTTTAAAAAATGTTATCCAAACGTCATTATGTTTTGTTAATTAATTTTTTTAATGGAAATCCAAGCACACCCATTGTATTTTCTCAATACACGTGCAAATCTTGTTTAGAATTTGTGCTAGCATAAAGTATTTTCAATTGAAAAAATTGATTAACAGAATGTGATAATGTTTAGATAAGATTTTTTAAAATTAATTTTGTAAAGTTGATTTACCAAATGAAGGAACATTTAGCTTCTACAAAATGGAGTTTCAAATACTAAATGGAGTTTGTAAAAATTGAGGATGTTTGGCTAGCTTTGTAAAAGAAAGTTTTAGAAATCAAATAAAGTTTTAGAAAAATTAGGAATGTTTAGATAACTTTTTTCAAAACCATGATTTTAAATGCCATGATTAATTCAAGAGAATATCCAAACGTGCTCTTGGGAGTTTCGTCTAATGGAGAGGACCCAATGGATGGTGGGTATGAAAAGCACGCAGTACACTCTCTCTCATCTATGTTCCATCCCCTCAATGCAAACATGCATATGCATGCTCCCCAGTCCCTGCCTATACCCTCCCCATTTCTCGACGTTACTTTTCTCTCTGTTCATTAAATTTCTTTACAAGTCTTTGATCCTCCGCTAGCTATGAGTATTTAGTCGCATATATGCTTACATGCACCTTGTTGCAAAATTTCAACCCATGAAAAATCGGGGCTAAGCTAGGCCAAGTTCACCCGACCCGACCAATTAAGGATTTCTCTCATACGGCTAAACTTGGCATTGGCAAGCAAACAGAGATGATAAGGGATATTCCCGTTCAAGACCAAAATATTCTGCACTAATCAATTGGTTGGATGTTCTCCAATATGACTGCAAAATGAAGCAGAGATCCGTCGTGAATGTATTTGCCATTAAACAAAGTGATCATATATCTGGCTCTACTAATAATAAATATCTCTCTCCATCGCCATAAATATTCTTCATCATATCTTCATACATAATCATAATGCCCTTGGCAAAAAAAAAAAAAAAATTGTTCATAATGTCTTACGGTCATATTTACTTCTTTCACTCAGTGCGAATGTGCACATAAGTAACTGTAAACAAACGCAATACTCAGTTTTGTTTGATAGCAGCCTACGATAGTATAATCGCTACATTTGAAAAATTTAATCTTGAAGTAGGCAAAACATGTTAATTATTTACAAATAAAACATATGTATGTATATCAACTGCACAGCTTTGCATGATCCTAACTGACTATCTAGACACTGTGACTAAAAGAATGATCAAACTTCCCTTCTCTTTCCCCTTCAAATCCAACTCATTCGAAATGGTTTTCTTTTTTTTCTTTTTTTTGTTTTCAAATCAACAAATCATCATATATATGCCACGACTTCGACTAGAACGCTACATCCAACTGCAACCTCCTGCGGGCTTCAGAATTGAACATGTTGTCCTTTCCGAGCTTTGATATGATTCAGCTCCAGAGTTAGAAGATGGATAACAAGAGCGAAAACTGTTTAGCAGTTCGCATGTTCAAATTACACAAAATATAAAATAATTGTCTAGGTGATATGTGGAGAGCCTCCGGTGCAGATCGGGGTGAACTTGGGTTCATCGAAAGTACGGAGGAGGTTGGTCTTGTTGATGAACAGCAGTGGTGGTCGACTCTGATTGTGACGAGTGGATAGCGCACAGACATCAAATGTCCACAAAGAAATGTGGCCCTTTACAGACCGTACACTGATTGACTGCAATAGAAATGAATGAACAATAGAGCGGGGTACTGACTTGGAAAAATTATGTGCCCTCCCACTGCAATATGTCATGATCAGTACTTGCACTTGGACCCCCGGCCCCATTTTTCTGCTGCACCGTCCTTCCATTCTTGCCCACGCCAAGTGTTGCTGCTTACCTTCTATCTTGCTACCTGCTAATCATATATTCCCAGCATCATTCCATATTTTACAGCACAATATCTTTCTTAACTAATTATAAACAGGAAACATATGATGAAGTTACTACCGCCATTCATTGATTCGTATGCTAAATTCTTTGGAGTTTATCATCAATTTACATCACCGGCCTTGAGTAAGTAACTAGATTTTGTAGTTTATTCAATAAACCTGGTCATATACCATACAAAGTTACAAACCCCTTTATAGCCAACAGATTCTTGATCTTCACCCCAACCACTCACTGAATAGGTGCGAGCTAACTACAAATCAAAGAAGTTAGTGGCCACTGCCCACATGCCGATGTAGTTATACTTATCTGATAAGTTCTACAGGGAACGAAGAAGTTGATAATTAACAACTTTCAAGTGGAATAAAATTGAATAAAACTGATAGGAAGAGAAGAATAAGCATGCTGCTCATCAAGCCATATGGGATCATCAGAAAGATGAATAAATGTGATTGTTATGTGGGGGAGAGTTGGAATTTAGAAATAGGGAGATATACAGCGATTGGAGGCTGAAGGTGATGACAGAAGCATAGAGAGCACAAAGGAGTGAGATGCAATTCTATATATGCATGTCATCGTCTGTGCTCTCTATCTTCTGTCAACAACCTCCCAAAGTGCCTTCTATCTATCTCTTTCTTTCTCCTAGCTTTTCACTGTTGTTTTCCACACAAACATCACTACAAGAATAGATGAAAAGGCTCATGAGAAGAAGAAACAGAAGGAGAAGTGAGGTGGGCTGGAGGAGCTTGTGTTATATCTACGATGCAGGCCGAAAGCACCTATTTATAGGAAAAGAGAAAAAGGAAGCCAGCTTGCCCATTGAAAAGATCTATGGGTAAACGGACCATTCATAAACCCATGAGCACTGCCCATCACATTTTCATGTACTCACCATCTCTCACGGCATGTTGCAACTGCTTCTCGCCGGATTAAATATTCATTAAAGGACACACACACTCCTTTGCAACTTTCAAACAACCCTTTTACGTACTCCATGCATGCCAATTGCCTTCTCTACTCATTTTAATCTGCTCCTACCCTCCCCTTTTATATTTTTGAACCCGTTATAGCAATTAACAGTACACTTACGGAGGAACATTTATTTTCATAACTTTTCGGAAACTGCAGTAGACGGACAGTATCGACTATTCAACAATCCAACAGGATCCATCTTCACTCATTTATGCTGCACATATATACATCATGCTCCCATTTGTGATAGGATTTCCACATATCTTCAACGTATATCATCATATTTCCTAGTCTAGACTTATATTAGTCCGAACCAATGGTGTAAAAAAGTTGCAGTAATTTACGTCTGTCTTCTCCATTTCCTTTGAATGGTTTGTGAGGCCCACTAGGCAATCGATCCATTGGAGCAGGACCTTGTACGGGTCAAGGCCAATGAATTCGCTGTCAAGGTGGTTCAGAAATGTGTAGAATATGTTGGTTAACTAATATATGGAGACAAGTCTCCATCTGTCCTTTTTCCTTTTCCTTTAATTCTAAACTTAGGGATCTGAGGAGTGGTGAATTCATTTTCCCCATTAAGAGGCATGACTTTTTGAAAGAAACCGAACCCCCCAAAGCTGGAAGGTTGTAGATGATGCTCTACAAAGGCATATGGTTGGAAATCACCATCAGCAAGCAGGCAAGACGTTTAATGAACCGGAATATGAATACCATTAGTGGGGACTGATGTTTGATTTTCTTCCCATCTTCAATTAATTTTGATGGGTGTGGATCTGCCGTGACATTAACAGGGTGGATGACTATTAATGAAGTTTGAGTTTGACTGATTTCTTGTTAAGAATCTTGTTTCATGTCATGACATGGGTAATGCATGAAGAAAGAGCATAGCGCCAGGCTTCAAAAATGGAAACAAAATAATGTAATAATGCATCGTAAATAACAATATTAAGTTCAATTACCGTACTGAAGTTTGCATGGATCCCTTAAAAGCGTTGTCCTTTGTAAATCACTGGGACGGATAAGCTGTTTCTTGTTTATTGTGGAGTGAGTTAAACTATGAGGAGATATAAATGAGTTGCATTAGATGTATGTAGGTAAAATGAATGCTGTAAAAGCTAAAGAAATCAGATAATGCATGGCATGTCCCATCTTCAGACAGTCGAGAATATCAAGTCATTGACATGTAAGTTTATCCCCTGAAGTGAAGAGCAGAGGAATGGGATCCACAAATTTTAAACTTTGAGAGAGGATGATATTGGGCGGTCAAGGATGAGGACATGTCGGAGCAAGTTGATGGAAGCATGGAGAAGAAAGAGCAACCTTCAACACACATTCCTTATCTCGTTTGGATTCACTTTTTCCTGTACAGTTCCTGAGAAAAGCAACGTTGGGTGCTCTTTAAAGTAAGAGAGAGGTAGTTTTCATCCTCAACATCTGTCACCACCCCATACCTTCATTCCTCATTTGGAATTTCATGGGGCTCACCCCAGTGGCCGAGAATCATGTGGGTTTAATGCAATTTGGACTGTTCATACACAGTGGTCTGCCATGGCACCCTATGTAACTTGGATTCCTCTGGGCTTTCCCTTTTTGGACTGAGGGGATCATTCTTCATGTGTTCACTCCTTATTGGTTCATGCATCACTAGTAGTGTACCACTCCCCACCTTCATTGGCCAAAATGAGATTCTCTCTGCAAAAAGTAGCAAACTGAGTCAAATCCAGCCCAACAGCATCACCATAATGGCTATGAAATATCTTCAGACCTTTCCATAGCTTCTTAAAATGTGGTTGTCATTTTACACCGACTCCTCTTTGAGAAGGCAATTTCCCCGTTAGACTAGGAAATAACACAGCATGTTGCGCATGAACAGTAGTGTAAGGCAGGACTCAGAGTGAGAATGACGGCAAGAGAAGGGTGAAATTCAGAACTTTGAGATTTATGAGTTTCTGGCTGTGGCAGTCATACTAGTGGGATTAATTTTATTTGTCTATAAGGTGGGGACAAAACAAAATTTACAAACGCTAGGGGAAAGCGCAAACATGCATAAACTGAACGCCCCACATGTCGAATCTAACCATGTGGTGACCATTTCGGACGATTGGTGCCACAGAAAGATTCATGGGAATATGGTTCTGTTAAAATACAGCAACATATAAAGCATACGGCCGAGTGCCGACAAATGGTAATTCTTGCCAAAGCAGGTGTCCATTGGTACATGAAAGTGAACTGTTTGTAACTTTTTCCTATAGTTCTTGGGAGGGCCCTTCTTTGTTTCAAATCAATCAAGAGACAAGAAATGATCAACCCGTCTGACTATACATTTTAGCACTTATGGAAATGTCTAATTGCTCATCTAAAAGATTAATGTGAGGCTCACCTATCTCTGGTTGAATGAATTAACTAGACAGAATCTTATTTCAAATAAAATAACCTATTGTTCTTGCTCTAATTTTTTTTCGTGGAGTGAGAAATATCATTAACTCAAAAGGGAACTGTACAAGCAATACACCAAACTAAAGGCCGAAAAAACATAAACATTACATCAAAGTTCTAAAAGTAGAGAAGGATTTAGAGGTATGTTTAACTATTTCTCTGAGTTGAGACAGAACAGTGTGAAGAACGAAGACTTCCTTAGTAAAGAGTCTTCTATTTCTAATGTCTCACAGCTTCCAGCAGGTGATGCTTATGCCTATCTTCCAGGAGGTATCTAACTGAGGATTGTGAAGACATTTGATGAGCCAAGAACTAATATCGCATCCAAAGAAGTCCATACACATATCAGTGGGTAGTGTTTCCTTCCAAACTGATGTCGCAAAAGAGCATTTCTTGAAAACAAGATTAATGTTCTCTACCGTGGCGGTGCAAGTTCTTACTCTAATTTAGTTGTGCTGCAAGTTATTGCTCTAATTTAGTTGTCTCATATTGACACTAGTGGCAGAGCCAGGATCCTAGGTCAGGGAGGATAATGGCAGAGCTAGAATTATCAATAAAAGTAATACATTTCTGTCTCTTCTAAATCAACTATTTCTCTTTTTTTTTTTGTTCATTGTTCCCTATTCAACTATTAATTGTAGATTTGTAAGTCTATTGAACTAACGAAAAACATTCACCCAATTTACTTTTGAATCTTCAATTTTCATTTATCATTTTCTTTTTTCTGACTAGTTCCTAAGTAGTGTTTAAGAAGAAGAGTGAGTCTAGTTTAGTCATATTAAATTTTTTATCTATTTTTTAAACAATTAATAAATAACATTTGAATTTAGGTATAGTAAACTTGTAGGCTAATATTTATGAGATTAAGTTAAAAATTTGAATAAATTTAAGCTAAAAAAGTAAGATTGAAATAGGTTTAAAATTTAAAATATAAAAATAAAGGGCAACAAAGTATAATAAATAAAAGGTGCAAATTGCAAAATATGAAAATCTATACTTCCAAACATGTCATTTTTTCCAAGCCCCTCAATTACATGTAGCTCCACCATTGATTGACACCGAAGTGGACGTGCTTTTAATATCTCTCTCACCGAACATTGCAAGAGCCAAAAAAAAAAAAACCAAAATAAAAACAGAAGGTAGAAAGATAAACAAAAGGTCCAAGGATGACGCCTGATATAGCTCTAATATGTGTAATTAATTGAATTAGAATTGAGATCAACAGGTTCCACTCATGTCGCTTCAACAAGAAGACACAATTAAATTGATACGCGTTGAGTGACGTGAGAAAAATTATCAGGATTGCACCCTTATTTTAGCGCTTAATCAATAACAAATTAACAACATAAAGTTCTGAGCATCCTTGGTGCATCTGATTTCTTCACATGAAATTATTTTGACCAAACCCTGCAGGAAACGGTTGGGCAATTGGTCAATACCTGCTCCGTATCGATTCCAACTTTGTCACATGAAATTGGTCATTAGGTGCTACGTCTGAAAGTATCACAAATTAGGACCCAGGTGCAGAATATACTGGAGTTGGGGAACAATGATTGAATTGCTAACCCCTACATAGTGACAGTGTAAACAAAACAGAAATTTGAACACAATAAAATGTTGGAAGTCAATGAATAGGCAACAAGAAGACAAGCTTGAAGGTTTCATAATGGTTTAGGTATTGCATTGAGTTGCACAAATGGGTTAGGTTGCCAAATGCCAATAACATGTAATTGGACGATGAGGAGTAAATTTATCTTAAAAGGATCCGTGCTAATAATTTGATATCGTCCAAAGGACCTCAAAGCTCAATTTCTGGGCGAAACTTTCCGAAAGGCCCATTGATGCATAAGAATGCTGTCAAGGGTCCTATTCTGCACTGCGTTTTCTCTAGCAACAGTAGTAGTAATTCTATTGGCTTTGCTTTCACCTGCATCCCACAAGAAGAGCCACCCAAGGGCATGGCTGGATCTGTCCTTGTACATCCAAAAACCTCACATACCACCCTCAAATTCACGACCCCAACTTGGGGACAAGGGGGGTGCATTCATCTTCCATCGTGTACTGACAGAAGGGCCCGACCATAATTCCAGGATTGTTGGCAAAGCACAGGGCTTTATAATTCCTACGCAACAGTTTGCATTATCGGCATTCAATGTCATATACCTAACCTTTGAAACTCCAGAGCGTTCAGGTAGCCTGAGTGTGCAGGCCAGGGAGGCAGGTGATAAGGGCAGTGAAGAATTTACAGTAGTTGGAGGGACGGGGTCATTTGCTTTTGCTCGGGGTGTTGCAGTTTTTACTGGCACAGATATGGGGTCAAGAGAAGTTGATGCGAGTTATTATGTCAGACTTCAGCTTGAATTTCCAAATCAGTCTCCCAAGACGCCAGGGTGATACAGAATGCTAGTTCATTTAGTTTGCGGATTCCTTCTTACCAGTCGCCCCGCCAGGGTATTCAAGCTCTTCCAGGATCTCGCCAGCCATTCACAAGTAAATCACACATTTTGATACTTAACTAGCAATGAACCCGTGCGTTGCACAGTATGGTGGAACTCCTGTGAAGTTTTTTTTTTTTTTTTACATGTATTTTTTTATAATTATGTTTTTAGATATGGCCAGTTTATTTATTTATTTATTGATGTAGTTGAAATGATTGGGTATACAATTCGAATGAGTAGTGATTATCAAAATTTTCTGTTGATGTGAGGTGCGTTGAGACTTCTTTTTCTTCTCTCTTTTTTCTTTTTTGTGAGATCAGAATATCCAGTTGAGGCCTGAGATGTTGTCCAACATCGTCCATAGGATTCGTGCATCCTGACAGTTTTTAGCTCTGGTAAAGGATAAAAAAAATTCATTCAAAATTTGGACGTTTCATGGGTCATTTTAACCGCCATCTGTGTGGTTTTTTTTATTTGTCATGGTCGATTAAATTAATGTAACCAATTGTTGCTAAATTGAAATGTGAAAAAGAATAACGTAATCCAAATTTAGTAAATAATTATAAAATACCCATTATCTTCCCTCACATTTATGTTCGGGCGATCCTCCCTGTCTCTCAGAAACACTTTTGAACGATCATAGATGGTGTGACAGAAAACAATGTACTGTCAATCTTTGGTTATTTTTTTCATGTTTTGTAGTAATGTTAATATAATTTTTTATGAAGAATGAATGTAGGTAATATATCTTAATGAATTTATAACTTGGACATTTGCCTGAATGCTTGGGCATTGTTTTGGATTATGTAATTAATTTTTTCACAATGTAAGAAGTGTTGGTTGTTGCAAGTGGGACATATTTTGACCTGAAAGAAATTGACAACACATTTCCTTTCACACTCTTTTTTTTTTCTCTACATTTGTTTTGTTTTGTTTTGTTTTTTCCATTAATAAGTGAGTTGATTGAAGTGAGTTGATGACTTCATTTAATGGCTGGCCCCTTGTCTTATGATGCCCTAGTTCATTAGCGGGTGCTTGGCTCAAAATGAAAGTAATTAATGTTAATAACAGTGCACTACTCAAATGTTGATAGAGAGCAGATTGTTGACATGATATAAATAGATAGACCAATGTTGTTCAAAAGTTGACATTATAGGGTGGATTATAGTCTCATGGCACAGAGGATGACGATGCCACTAAGGTCCTCCTGTATTCCATGAACTTAGGCACCGTCGAATCAAAGATGACTATTGTCATCGAGGAGAAGTTGGTAATGATAAAAATACTCGCATCATCATTATAATTAATATTAAAAAATGTCTTTTTGTTGAAGTTAGATATTATTTAGTCCTTCAAACAATGCTTTAAACCTAAATGGAACTCTTTCATGACAAACATGACAAGAACGACGCAATCCTTAGGCTTGTTGCATTGATTATGATCTCGTTGAGCCAGGAGAGCAATCTCGTCATACAAGAAACAATTGATTTTTTTTTTTGCCCGCATGGATAAGAAAGCTAAGTACTTTTATCTTTGGTATTTTGATACTTAATTAGCCTGAATTCAGGTAGATAAGTGTATTCTTAAACCACTTTTGTTTAATTAGCTGCTTGTAAGAAAATACCAGCGACTTTTCTATGGATAGAATTCAGACAGATTAGGAAAAGATTGGAGTGAGCACGCCCACGTGTAATTTCACTGCTTTGTTGATAGTGGTGTTCAGAGAGGGAAGAGATTCCTATTTTCATATCTAATATCGAGTCCCACATCGGCGAATATGAAATTGCGGAACTAGGCGAACGACTTAAAAATCGGAAGGGTGAATTGAGTGTCTCATCTTTGCGCTTGGGGCAATGACGCAGCTAGTGAGGTTCTAACCGAGGCGCGTCTATTGCTGGTTGAAAACTATTTCCAAACCCCCTCTTAGGCCTGGGTTAGGCCCCGGCCTTTGAGAATTTCTGGAAGGGCTCCTCTCGGGGTAAAGCCCTGCAACTCAGTCCGAAGTATCATGCGATGCCCAATTGTTTGTAGTGTACCCAGTTATTAGAGGATCATCTGTAACTACTGCGTCGTGGGCCTAGCTAAGGGCTATTCGCCAATTTCGTGTTTAGTTTACCTACCGTTTATTTGCGATAGAATTTTTGGAAGCCCAAATGTCATCAACGTGGGCATCAACTATACGATGTCTCCTATATAAGGTCAGAAGTACTTTCTTAAACAGATTGAAATAATAGTCTCATTAAAAAATTTGACGAAATAAGCTCGTTAAAATTTTTCTAATAGAGTGGATCCAACTTTAGTATCATGTCAGTCAGTATAGACAGCCTAGTCACTTCGTCATCCTAATGCTATATTGCCATAATATTTTTTACATTTTTAGTAACATTTCTTTTGTATCATCCTTGGAGCAATTTATTATTATTATTATAATATTTTTAGTAGCATTAAATGAGGAACAGATTTAATAAAATAAAACATACTTTCACATATTTATTGTATTTCTTAATTTATGTACAGTAACTTGAGAACAAATAAACAGTACATATATAAGAGTGTGTACTATATTTGATGTAGACATGCATTTGATTTGTGAGGGTCGTTAAAGAAAAGGAGTAATGCCAAGCTTAGATGCCTAATAAATAATAAATATATATACGTAAAAATATGCATGCATGTTCCATTAAAGAATTCCGGGCATCTTAATACACGTAAATGGGAAATTAAATATAGGTTGCGCTGACTAACCATAACCAACCAAAACTTGTTAAGCTTATCTTCTAATCTTTATATAAGAATTAAGTGCCCCATCCTTACAAGAGGCCATGGTGAAGTCCTTGTCCTCTATAATATATACCCCGCCTTTGGGATCATGGGCCTTTATTTCCGCCACCTAATTATTTATTTTTTTGTTTGATAATTTTTAACAAGTTGCTTCTAGATGAGGCTTCAAAACGCCTTAAATTATCACTACAATTTGAAAAGCTTCCAAAAATTTAAATCATTACTCAACAATCGATGAATATGCTTGTGTGTGCAGATTTTAGAGTAGTAGGGTATGTAGTGCACCCACTTATATAGTTCTAACTCTCCTTAAATCCTTCAATTTAGAATGTAATAACTTTCTCGACCAATTAGTGACGCTCTTGTCATAGGTGGCTTATTGAAAAGGTCAACTAATTAGATAAATTTAAGCATAGCTTGAATACCATTTTATCATTAGACCATTGCATTATCCTCAAAAAGTAGCTTAGTGAGGTATGCAGCTTATCCACTTACATGACCGACCCTCTCCAAATTCCTTTGATGTGAGATGTAACATTAGGTTTTTATTTTGCTGCTTTTACACTTTAGCTGGTTAATGATCTTTCTCCCATCAAAAACAGAAAAGGAAAAGCTATTATTTTATGACATTTTGTATCTAATTCTACCTTTCATGCTGCCAATGTACTGGTGCAGGATGCCAAAAACTTTATAGGAAGAGCTAAAAGAGCGAAGTATATGATATATATATATATATATATATATGATCTAATTTTTCTTATTCATCACCAAATTAAGTTAAAAGCTTTCCGTATGTCCGTACACAAACCTGTAACTTGTTGACTGACAAAGTGACTAGTATTGGTGATTAAAGAGAGTTGCATGGTAATTTATTGATATTAAGATCACGAAACACGCGAGCATACAATTTTAAAATTAGTAACTGATTATTGATATTCTATGGATGGTTTACACTAGTCGATAAAAATAAGCCTTTCATGTTGAGAAAATAGACACACCGAAAAAGACGCATATGAAAAATCAGCTCATGACGGTAGTTGGTGTGGACAAAGACAAACCTTACTCCTTAACAAAACGAGACAAAGAAAGCATCGACTGGCTAAAAATAATAATTTTTATTAAAAAAGTGGAGTTTGACGATAACATGACTGAGGTTTTAATTTATTTGGTTGGAGGAAATTAATTAAATAATATGTCATCCCAGAGGTGCAGTTGCACTGTTGTTCCAAGTGACCACTTGACAGATAATTGCAACCACTAAGACCCACTCACGTATGCAATTGTTTAGTATTCTTTCTTTCTTGACTTGACCAACAACGTCGTGAGCCTTTGTTTAACTGAGATCTGATCTCCCACACCAACAAAATTTACTTTTCATTTAATTTGGAGCTCTAACTATGTATCTCTCTTGTCAGTCCTGATATTTCGGACTCTTCAAATTTGCTGCTGTTTCCCCACATATATGTACGCTGGGACAGTATATATCAATATATATATATATATATATTGTATAACATTTTAAAAAAATACAATATATATACATCTAAATTGAAGAAAAGAATATACACATATATACTTTTCTAACCTTTTTTCTTCAAGCGTATAATATACGTGAAAAAACGTATATCTGATTTCTTTATACGCATGGATGTTCCTAGTTTAATTGCATCTCAATGCCGGGCAGATCCTAGTTTATTGCTTTGTCCGTGTATTCAATTAGCATATGAGATGACATACATATACTTTTAGATCTGATAGGGCTATAATTTCGGTCTTGTTTATAAGTTACCAATATATTTTACAGGAATCGGGAAAATTCTTTTAAAACTCATTTATGACTCTCTAAAAATTTAATAAATTTCAAACTTCACCTTAATTAAATATACATATTTAATAATGTATTTTTTCATCAAGATTATATTTAATAGGGAGTAAAAGTAACAATTTTATAATATAACTTATAAATATAATGAAAAATTATTTATTCTCTATCTTATAAATAGAACTATATATTTGAAAGCGTCTAAAGTTAGTAGAATTATCTTTTTAATTACCATCAACTATTTTGTAGCTAGTTGAAGGTTATTGATAATCACTTTACATATCCACATCTCTACTTGTGCGGTTGAGTAATTTCACTAATAATCGATTTATAATTACTCGGCCTCAACTGAAAACTTGATATTTATTCTAATGTGGGAGCGTTCTCCCAACAGAGTGTGTATGTGTAAATACTATTACAAACGATTCAAAGCCCCCCTAACTGAGGTCTCGAGAAGCCTTGCAAGCATGAGGATTTTGTTGCTGAACTATATTCACTTATTATAGTATTTGATTGGTCAACATGAAAACGGCAATCCAACCATCTTACGCATTTCTTTCTTCTATTCATTGTTTATACCAGTCTCTCCCCACCCACCCCAAAATTTTTTATATGTACTAGTGGGCAAGTCCTTGCATAAATGTAAATGATGACTAGGATTATAGTTTTAAGCACGAGTTTGATTAGAAAGTGACTTATCGTTGGATATACAGCCGTACGTGTTTATAATTAAAACGACACCATCATTATAATTAGAGCGTCTCTGATATATATTTGAACATAAAGAGACGACGTTAGTTTAATTTGTAAGCGGCCATTAAAGTAATTATGTGGACTGATGAGATTTGAATACTTAGAAATGCATGAAGAAGGGTGAAGATTGGGGCCCCTCAAGAACAGAAGAGAGAGAAGCTTTATTGAAGGGATCGAAATACAAACGAGGAACATGGCAAGAGTAGGGTATAGTACATCAGGAGAAAGAAACAGAGATGCAATATAATTAGTGGAAGTGGAAGGGGACAAAGGGTATCTCACTGGATGGAGCAAGAATCAGGTTGGGAATCATAAACGACACGGTAGCAAGGATATGGAGGCTTCACACAGCAAGAGGGACAGGAGATCCATGGAGGACACTGACCGTAGCAGACATTATAAGCACAGAAACCGTGGCACCTGTAGCTCCGGCATCTGGAGCAGGCCTTGCACCCACCGTCACACTTGTGGCTCTCGCACTTTGAGCAGGCCTTGCACCCACCGTCGCACCTGTGGCTCTCGCACTTGGAGCACGGCTCGCACCCTCCCTCGCACCTGTAGCTCTCGCACTTGGGGCACGCCTTGCACGGCACGATACAAACTGTACAGCATTTGGCCTTTTTGTCCTTTTCATCCTCCTTCTTTGCCTTCACCTCTTCCACCGTCAGCACCGTCACGCCCCGGAACTTCTTCTTCAGCATCTTCCCCAAGCAAACCGTGTCCACATCTTCTCCCGTCACCACCACTCGGTCTTTGCTGTCCCCTTCTATTGCCACCGAGCTCACACCTGCATATATACCATACCACTTCATCCACTTAATGTTCATGCTTGCCTATTGATTCACATGTATATACCTTTTATCATCGATGCTATTTTCAGCGCCTTGTTCCTGCAACTCTCGCACTCCATCACCACTTTTATTGTTACTTTTTGCTGCACCCATTCCCCAGTTTCAACATTAATATTGACAAAGTAGCCTCTTGATAAAATTCTACGCACGTAAAATACGAAAGTTTCAAGTAACTGATTGGTAGGCAAATAAATGGACCTCACCTTCATGTTTGTGACCCGAATGGCGACCTATATCCGTTGCTGGGAGGACTGAATTGACAATACCAGGCCGTTCTTGTGTCGTGCGCGCTTCTGGGCGCGTCTGTCGCCCTATATATAGCTAGGGGGAGAGTTTGCTCTTCTTTCTTGATGCACTACGAATACCAGGACTGGTGATAAATAATAGTTCACCGAAGGATTAAACAAGTTACATTGACCCGTACTGCCCGTTCTAACTAAGTTTCATGCTCTAAAAAATTAATTTCACCCAACAACTCATTACATGTATGTTATCAGGAGTGAAGCTGTGCATGGTAGAAGTATTGTGGAGTAATCCAGCGCAGCCGTTGACTTCTTACCCGCCACAGAGTCTCAGGCATCCGACTCCTCTGTAATTTTAGAAGATCGTGATTAATCTGCTGCTCAGCTAAATTCTGTGTCATTCGTCACGTCGCTGTTACGCTCTGCATTAAATTAAACAATGAAACCGAAAATTACGGACATCGAAGGCTGGCATCGTTCCGTTTTGTTGCTGTTGCCCAATTCATCTGTATGTACCCCACAGATGACACCCCTTTGAATAGTCAAAGTAAAACCAATTAATGTTATTCCCTAACCACTTGGCTGTCCCTTTCCGAAATATATATAAAGGTGCCAACCCTACCCCTTGTTTCATCGCTGCTTCCGTGATCTTATTCATTGAATCAACTTCCATTATCATATTTTCGTTACGTAAAATCTATAACACTACGACTAAACAGGCGGATCCATCTGTTTATCTGTTCATCCCGGCTACCATCACATTACTGTACATTTGTCCCCTTATTAATTAACTATAAAATGGAGAGGAAATTTAGATTTAATTTGCTAGAAGGAAGTCAATATGTGAGTGTGTGTGTGTGTGTGATTGAAGGGCAATAGCGATTCCGAATCAAGCTTGTCTTGATCAATTTATGTATATATTAGGAATCCAAGTTAAGTGGTGGGAGATTGACGTCCTTCAGAAAAGGACGCACCAGCCCCCCTGTGCTGACTGACTCACTTGCAACCAGTTTTGGAATATTGCACCAACGGGGCTTATGAGGCTTAAAATATCTGTTGGTTTTGAGTCATGGGAATTTTCAAAATAGCGATCCACATATCTCCGATTGACCAGGAGTTGGTTTTTCACAGCCTTATTCTCGTGATTTACTGACATTTTTAATTTTAATGGTTCTCACTCGCATTGTAAATAATTAAGTCCTCGCCTGGCCTTGGTTAATTTTCTAATTATCATTTCCTATATCAAAATTTCAATGCGATCGTGGTATAAATTAAATAAATTGTACAAGTCAGTGCGCATTCAATTAACTTGTCTCTGTTTGGCCATTGTCGATCGGTTAGCAAAGCTCTCTCTCTCTCTCTCTCTCTCTCTCTCTCTCTCTCTCTCTCGTGTCAATCAAATAAATAGGTTGAGTCTTTTTTAATTATTTAAACAGGCCAGGTCTAGTTGTAAGTTTGACCCTAACATTTTTCCTAAACTAAACTAGATCGACAAATTGATCTTCGACGGTCTATTTCCGTGCACTCCCTTGCATTTCTATGAATTTTTTTTTTTGTCGGAATTGAAAGAAATATATTATGCTCAGGAAACAGGGGCAAAAAACAAAGGAGGATGGAAACGGGAAGGGCCGAAAATAGTATGGCTCGATCGCCTGGACTTCCGAGAATGAAAGTGGGCAATGATAAAAAGCCTCTACCTTTATTTTCTACAAAATACCATTTGTTTTTATAGTTACTCATTTCCAATAATTTTTATTACACACACATGTATGAGATGTGCATACTTTTTGTATTATCCATAAGAAAGTAGATATATCTAATAAATAGGAAACAAATCAATATGGAGCTGCTTGGCTCTGAGTAAGTGGAGGGCAAAGGAAATATGGAGTAAGTTAGGAGAGAAAAGCGAGGCAAGGTAAAAGCCTCCATACAAATAGTCTTGACTGGAATTGAGAAGAAACTAGAAGATGTGTGAGCTAGTGGTGAAAGTTGTAGAAGAAGGAAAGTTGAGCAGTGGCAGTGTTGAAATGCACAAGACGTTGAGCAACATAAAGCATGGCATCAACATACGCATCTCTAACTGTTGTCAGCAGATTCATGGACGGCAGGGAGCATCCAGGACTCGCGTTGAGCCTCTCATATGTTGCTCTCCTTCCCACCCTCTTCACCAATATGCTTCCACACACCCCAATCGGAACCACATGCCCTATCTCCATGTGTGCCCCCCCTGCTTAGCCTCTCTCTCTCTCTCTCTCTCTCTCTCTCTCTCTCTCTCTCTCTCTGTGCGTGTGGAGCAACCTAGCTAGCCTGTGTATATATACAATGATGATACTGGAATTTGGACAAAAGTAGGTGGATGCATGTGAGATTGACTATAACATGTACAGTGCAGAAGCACCGTGCAAGCATGCACCTTGCTACTGCTACTTAATGACAACACAAAAACAGATCGATGGTTGGTGTTTAACTGTCGTGCACCCTATGCCAAGGGATCCTTCCTGCATTTGGAGTTGGAGATCAGGTTAGATTGCTTTGCTTTTAGTTTCAGTCATTTTGATTCATTACTATCACCTAATTGCCTCTACCGCATTAAAGACTCCTCATATCGCTCACAATTAAACATTCTTGTTTTTGGAGACTCCCAACTAGCTAGTGGCATAAACTGTCATCAAGAATGAGGGCCACTACCACTGTAGAGAGAAACTCTCAAGTTACTTGTCCATACACATACTATATATAAGTTAGTTGTCACCTTTAATGCTTAAACGTGTCAAAGTAGTGTGTATCGTAACCTACACGACACCTGTGGTCTCTCCCTCACATCGATCACCATCATGCTTGCATGCATGATTTACCCCCACATATGCATTATGATAATACTCTGCTATAGTTGGTCTGCTGGGTTGTGTAATCATGAAGCTACGCCTACAACTCAAGTGATAACACCATTCGCGTTTGCATGTGGAAGCAGTGTATTCAACCAAAAAACGATAGATCAGGCGCTGCTCTAGAATTAGACAGCTTAAATTGTTTGGAGTGGTGTGAGGCTAGAAAGAATGGCACGCTCATCTTCTATGGAGAAGACAGTGACACCCAGATGAGTTGCAGAAGGAGAATGTTTCCGTAACTTGTAATCCTCACGCAACATATTTCTTTAGACAGGGACACTTGTTGAGGTAATGGCTTTTCTGTTTACAGTATTTTAAGTCTAGTAATTTTGTTTAACACAGACTCTCCGTGAATATGACATGACTTTAATTGGCAAGACTTGAATAAATATTTTCACGCCATTCCTATGTGTAAAATCATTTAACACAACAGAAATCAGAAGAAGAACAACCCATTCATGCAGATGTTTCCTGTAACATTCAAATGCAAATTAATTAATAGTGGGTCCTGAAACGGAAGTCGCCCATCATCTTCCAAGTCTCTTCCTCTTCCACCACTCCATGAATGTCCATAATAACTCCGCAATAATAGATTGTAACCCCGCAAATAATGAATAACTAAACCCCATAAGCCCCCCTCTTAAATGCTTTGATTTAGGACGAAAATAGCCCTTTCATTTTTTTGTATGAACCAATAATTTAAAAACCGGATCAAACCAGACAGTTAAACTATCAACTAAAACTATTAACAGCTTAGTTTATATCAAAAAATTATTTTTATGATTGAGCCGGATTAGATCGGAGTTGAGTCATTATTAAGTAGGAAATTGAAGTGGTTTTTAGAAAACCAAACGATTTTAAATATAACATTAAAAAAGCTTAAAAATTTTAAAAAACTTGAAAATTTTAAAAATTAAATCTTACTAAGAGCTAACTTTATTTTTGGACAATTTATATGTATAAAATATGATTTAAGACTATTTTGTTATAAAAATATTGACAAATATATATGTAAATGTAGATACTTTTAAATTTAATCATTTTTAATTTAATCAAGATTCACCTATATTTGATAAGTTATAAAATTATAATTTATAATATTATTAATTTACAGTTATTTTATGTCATTTTATTAACATATTATAGATTATTTTCTTGTATCTATTTTATATGTACATTTAATGTCATTTTTATTTATATTACCGATCCAACCACTAATATAACTGTTTAGACTATAAATAATTAAAAATTAAGAACCACTAACTTTTTAGTTTAACATCAAGTCTGGCATTTAAAATATTAATATAAATATTCAAGAATAAGAATTTGAATATTTTATAGAGTGAGAGTTTTTCCTCTAGTTTCTGTGCCAGGTCCTCATTGTTTTCAGAGACTCTCCCTGTTGTTGTGATCCGCAGTGTCCTTGATTTTTTTTTTTTCTTTTCTTCTAGGGGGGAGTTACCTAACACAAACGCAGTTTTTTTTTTTTTTTTTTGAATACACACAACGCAATATTACTCCTCCTGATCCCTCACCCACCCTTTTTTTTTTTAAAAAAATTATTTTGCTGATGCTTTCGAATCTTTTACGACTTTTATCCCACCCTCCACTTGGGTTCGTAGGAGTTCAGACTTAGAAACAAACCGTTCATGTTTATTGATTTTAGACATTTTCTAAAATTGGGTCTTTTTTCTTTTAATTTGCGCAATACAATTTCAAGTTATAAATGACCAAATTAAAATGATTCTAAGATTCAAATTAAATAACACAAATCCAAGCTTTAAAAGACATGACTATAATTTTTCTAAAGTCCCAATTGCAAATACAAAATTAAAACTTTCTTAATCCTTTACATCCCATTTGGTTACTAGAAAGAAATAAAATAAAATAAATTAAAAAAATTAACAAAGAAATGAATTAAATTACCTTTTCTTTTCATGATAAACATGATAAAACTCATTAATATATAATATAAGTGTAAGAATTGTGATACCTTTCAACAATCTTATGAATCATAATTTGTAATCTTATAAATTAAATTACCAATCTTTATAAATGTAATTTATTATTTCTTTTAATCATCCCATTTTTATTTTCATTTTTTAATTAATTCTAATAACTAAACAGGACTTTAGTTTACGAGAAAGAGGGGCAACACATTCAATGGTTAGACAGAAAGGGAGCTGTTTTTCAGCCTTTAGTTTTTTTCTTTTTATTCTCCCTTTCAAGAATTTGAAAAGCTTAAAAAAATTATATATAAAAACTAGCTTAAAAGCCAGCTCAAGTCTAAGTCTTTTTTTTTCCTCCCCTTATATTGGTCGGGCCTAGAAATCTTGAAAATGAGATAGTACAACAGGCCCGGCCCATATTTCTTGTTCTACTTGAGTGGCACACTTTTGGACAGACAAAAGAAAATGTCATCACATGAAATTGATAGATTTCTTGAGTAGCGACAGCGTGTAAAACCATTTAGCAGGCTTTCTATATGATCCAATTGATAGTTTCCCTAACAACCTTATATGGCCCAACCCAAAACAAAGTCTTCCGTCACCCTCCACAACCACAATGGAATTGGAAATGAAAGGAGGGTGAACAGGGATTATGGACGATGGATCTCAAACCTAAACAGATGAACCAGGGAAAGATATCAACAACAAAAATGAACCAGGGAATATGATAGTTCAATTACTAATTTCACCAAAAAGAGCAATTCACAACTCAATGAACAAAAAGGTTCGAGAGGTCCAATTATGAAACGATGCGTTCTCCGATCATAGAATGGGATGAAGATTGACGTCCAAAAAAGAAAAATCAAAATTCTAGCTTCTGTTGGAGATGAAATGCTATACAGAGGAAGCAGGCGTCCAAAAGCCAAAAAATTTATTTTTTATTTTTTTCCTAAAAAAATAATTCAGGATTTGGCTACTGAGTGACGACTAACAACTTCTTGCTTACACACTGGGCAACAATTTTTTTGCGCGAGCCATTGCCTTAAACACCGAAAGTGATAGTCGTGTTCACAACTCAGCCTTCCCACCTCATCATCAGCTTCGTATTCTTCCTGTCCACAGCAAGCAATGTGGATTTAACTATCAAAGCCTTGACACATTCATAAATGTAGAGCAATATCAGTAACATAATTCTACTAAGCTCACCTGACAAATGCTGCACTTGTTCTCAACTTGACTTTTTGAAGTCTTGTTAAACTTGGAAAGCTTAAATTTCCTAATGCAACGTCTAATCTCGTCTTCTTTAAGTCCAGTGTTCACACAACCAATTCTTTCACCAAGCTCCAGCAATTGCTGTCACACACAACGCCCGAGTTTTGGCACGCGTAAAGTCAGTATGCACATGGACGGCATGTAAATTGCCAACAGGAAATATTGCAAACAAGAAAAAACATCTGACAGTTTGACAGGAAAAAGAAACCAACCTCATAAGACATGTTATCAACATCGAGTCTCCAGTCTCTAAAGTGGTCGCGAGAATTCAATCTTCCCCCCATTAGCAGACTTCCTTGAAGCAGCATCATCTTCATTGGCCAGCACCAGCCAACACACACACACACACCCACCAGTCAAGGTTTTATAAGTTATAAACTTGAGGTATAACGAAACTATATGTATGTTCATTTCCGTCGTAGTATCTAATTCATGAATTCCTCATCCCCCTCCCCAATGCATATTGATCTAAAACTAGGGACAGGAAAAGACACAAAATACTAAGCCTAGCAACTTACTACTAGATCTTCTAATCGTCATCATAGCCCTCAGTCATGGCAGAATCTCCCCCATGTTAAAATTAGTCCGTTTTTTTTAAAAAAAAAAAAAGAAAGGAAAAGAAAAGAAAACAAAACAAAAGAAAAACCATAACACTCATCCTTCGTCAAACATTTATTAGTCGACTTTTAAGTAGGGCCGAACTGACTTCAGCAGGGTAAAACTGATCCTCACAATCACAAATGCATGAAGACACCAGAATTTAAAAGGTAACTTGAAATGGAACCTAAGGTTGAAACCAATAGTGTACAAGGATCCATATAAGTATTGTTTTCTTTGGTTTATCTAAACCCATTTCAAGACAAAGAATAATACTAGGTTTTATATTCTTAAAGCATTTTAGGAGGACTAAAACCGGGGAAAAAAAATGAATTGAGATTGTATCAGTTCTTGACTTTTATAGCAAGCTTCTAGAATAAGGCGCAGTAACAGCACGTGATACCGTGGTTTCAATTGCTCAACAAAAAATTCAACGGCAGACGATCATATGCCTAAACAAATAGCTTGTATAAGAATTACCCAAATCATAATCTAAGTTACGGAGAACCATATCGGATTAAAATCAAAAAGTTATTAGGAAATGATGGAAAAGCAGAGTGATCAATGTCCGCAACAGTAAAAAAGAAGGTAAAGAATGTAAGAGAGGGAACCAACCCCAGCAGAGTTATGAGAGGAAGGAAGTGGAACATGGCGATAGGATCCAGCAGTACCAAAAGACTCAGAGAGGCGCGCGAATCGCTGCCGATATTACGATGACGAAGTCGAAGCCACGTATAGGCTCCAATGCATTAGCGTATCAAATAAAACACTCTAGTTATATAATGACTGATAGGAGAGCGGACTTATCCACTTCAACTCCTCGATTAATTGCACTACTAATCCAGAACCAGTTTATCCGTGCGTGCCTAGGTTACGAAATGCGTGCACGCATTAGGGTTTAGGAGAGGAATGGTCATAACCCAAAAAAAAAATCAGTTCTTTAATCAGTAGGTGTCTTCTTATAACTATTCGCTATTCCGACGTCCACGAAAGTTTCAGTTAGAGAACTTAGTTACTTTACGAGACTATAAAAAATAATGTATAATTTTTTTAATTAAAAAAAGCTGACTATGAAATTGAAAGATCAGGCGTGGGGCCCACTGATATAGAATGATTCTCAAATTTGTCGTCTTTGGGCCTGCGGATGAAGTGAGAAATTAAATAACAAAGACCAGTCCTCTCCGTTTGCTGTATCGCCACAAGCATCCCAAATCAAGAAAGAAAATCATACCCGAGCGTAAAGCTTGATGACTACAGAAGATGAAATTTCCCAGTTACAAGATTAAACAAACAAGATCAAAATGGAAATTTTACATAAGCACCATATTGAAAGTAGGAGAATCACACAATCGGATCGAAAAAAAGACGTACCCGTTAACTTTAACAAAGATTGAAAAGGAGGAAGATAGAGAAATACGTCAGAATACCTCCCTGTGGCTGTGAGTCATGTTCTCCAAATCAGTCTTCCCTCTCGTAGGCCCATTCTTCCTTGCCACAACGCAATCCGCATGGGCAGCAACGTCCGCCGAAAATCCAATTCCAGGGCCACACCAAACATCTTGAGAATCAACGCAACCAACGGAACCAGAATTTGAACCTTCAAAGACGCCTTGACCGTTCACACTGTTCTTCGCACCACTCCTCCGGTGCTTCTCTTTTCTGGCTTTGGTTTGCTGCCAATCAGCCGATGTCCGAATGAGAGCGGGAAGCGATACCTGCCGCGAGGCGCCAGCAGTGCATCCGAATCCTCTTAAGGTTACCGCTGAGAAATTGGTCTTTTTCTTGTTGGTGTTGAGGTTGGGTCGTGCGGTTTCACCGCAAGCGTCGTGGGAGGAGGCAGAGAGGATAGAGGAAATGGTGGATTTGCAGCGAGTGGAGTGGGGCAGAGAAGGGATTTGTGGGTCGGGATTAGTTTGGGAAATGAGGTGCGAGAACTGGGTCCTGGGCCTCGTGCATTTGGAGTGCTGAGATTCCGAAGCCTCTGCTGCATCAGGCATGGTTTAGAGATTGAAGATGAAAGAAGAGAATGGATGGATGGATGGATGTGGTGAAAGTTTTCAAAAGAATGGGAACCGGAAGGGATTTTTTTTGTTTTGCCCGGGGGGGAGAGTTTGTGTGGTGGTGCTCTGTGGAATGTCTGCAGGAATTGTGAGGTCCACCGTGAGGGGAGGTGTTAATGGAAAGAAAAGACGGAAATCCATTCTGCTCTGCCTGTGGGTGAAGCTTGAAATGGGGAACAAAACAAGAAGCAAACAAAAGCGTCACGACAAGGTAGCACTGCGCGAAGTCAGAGTTTGGGTCTGATGAAAGAAGCAGACAGCATCTGAGGGTCCCACATCCTCATGATACCAAACTCTCCCCAGACGGCATCATAATTTTCCCTCGGAGAATGTCTTCCTATTTTATAAAGCACCCCCTGCGGATCAGCAAACACCGAAGGTCCACTCACTCTTGGCTCTCTACTTTCTTTGTTCTCTTCTCTTGCGGCCTCCATTCAACTTTACACTTTTTATTCTTGAGATTACTAATTTAAGTTTTTGACTTGTGACTAGATTTCCATGGTGTCCAGTTATTTAATTTTATATGGTTGATTTAGCTACCCATTATGTCACATCATTTAATGCTTACTTTTTCCGGTGATTATCAGTAGCGACTAGCGAGGAAAATAAAATCTGCTGAAATTACACCCTATCTGATTTCTTTATTAAAGCCCGATGGATTTACCATAAGAAAAGATGGGGATTTCATTATTAATTACCATTGTTTCTCAATAATTACCGAGAGTGGGGGCCTCTTGCCCGGCAACCAGCACTCATCAGATCCCCTTCTTCCAGCTCTTCTTGCATGGTCCACATTTTTACATTTTACTCTGCCTAAAATGAATGATTATTGTTTATACTTTATAGTACCCCACAACTCCTCCTATTAATTATTAATTTTAGGAATAGCTAGACCCTGAGCTCGGTGTGTAATCTAGGCCCCTTATTGCAGAAACCAGAGTCCTTCAACAAAATTGTGGCAAAGAATTCCTAGTTTATTGCTAACTGGGGTTCATCATCCTGTAACTCAAAGCCTTTAACTCCAGTATCTGATTTTGTTCTCTTGGTCGTGTAAAAAGTAGACTGAAAGCCATACATGTGGTGATGTGGAGTTTTGCTTCGCGTACCGTTGATTCCCAACTTGTTACTTGGAAAAGCATAGTCGCCTTGTTATGCAGTTATAGATAAGATCCCTTGATGATAAAAGGAAAAGAAAACTTTAAGCTATACTAGTAATTTTCTAAACTAGAAATTTGGCACCAATCAACTGAAAGTAGACTTGCTTAAAAACCTCCACTGGAAAGATTCCTTTGCAAACGTTCACAGCCACAGCGCAGAATCATATAGGTCGAGCGGCGTTGTCATCCTCCACAGATCTTGCAAGTGCTTCATCCCGTCTGCAGGAATCAACTCGTTGGATGTGTCTGATATTGAAAGATCAAAAATGGGAAGCGGACTGGTGCTTGGAGACAGAGAGAGCGTAAAACCACTCGGTGGAAGGCATGATTCCGGGAAAGCAGGGGCTTGTAATTTGATGTCTCCTCTGCAGGAAGGACCCAAATGCAAAGAAAAAATGATTGAATTCCTGTGCAGTTGTTGTTTGCTGTGCTTATGTTGCCCTCTATCTGTTGTCTGCTGCATCAAGCTCCCTTGCAAAATCTGTCATCAAGCGTTGCGGCGAGCGTGGCGGTGGGGTTTCAGCGGATCAAAACAGAGGAGTTCTGCAGATTATTCTTCGTTTTCTGACATTGATTCTGACGTCGCATTTGCAAAGGTTGAATCTGGTGTTTGCAAACACTGAACAGGCATATCCATTTTTGGATTCCCAGTAGGCTGCAGCTGCGTCATGCTGCATCAGAACCACGAATAACCCGATTCTTCAGGTTTTTTTTTTCTTCTATATTATTTGATCAGCAGTCATTTCACAAGGCATGTGAATGTTGTGGAATATCTGATATCATATCAGAAATATGCACCATGCTTATTTAATCTGGAATTTATTTTCGAAGGTTTGGTCTTGGCCTTGGGGGATTTGTTGAGCTCCTTGAATGTAGTGGTATCTTTAAGCCGTACCATATCCTTTTTGGTTTGATAGTAGAACATGGAATTTTAAGCATAAGCGTGATGTATTCAAGTAAATTTTCTTTTACTAACCCAATTATAAGAAAAGAGCATTTCGGTGGGAGATTTGTGACACGATGAAACTGAGGGCACAATATCTCACACTATGAACAGAGCCTTCTTTGTCAGAGTATTCGTTTGGATGCTCAAGCATGGGTACCCAAAAATGAAGGAAAAGACGACTTGCAGAAAAATACAACATGACAATCCAGAGTGACGTGAGAGGAGCGGCGGAAGGAAGGTAAATTGAGATCAAAATGTTGAATTGCAAGTCTCCAGCGGTATAAGTAACCCAGATCCCATAGCTATGGCTTTATATCACTTCAATTCTGTATTTTTCAATGGAAACATTCTCTCAGCACCTGAATTCCTTTTCGCTGACAGACATTCAAACATTGAAGTGATTCAATAGTAAAATTCAATCTTTTTGAAGGTTAAACTCTCCTGTATCAATTATCTAATCTCTAGTTGATAGGGCAAAGACAAAGAGTTTTTTAGCAGCAAGATTGGTGGGTGTGTGCGGATAATATCAACATAAAAGCATAAGCTATGACTGTTGGGAGCTAAAATGACCTGCAGCGTGCCAATTTATGGTGACAGTGGAATCTCTCGAAGGGCGAATCTAGTGAGACCAGAGATATGTTCTGTTGGAATTCGTGTTGCAATTGAACCGAAGAAGCTGAGCAACCTTTTGCTCCTATGGGTAGCCTCCAAGTAGTAATATAAATTATTTGTCTTAATGGATGGCTGCTGCTTGCCAACAAAAGATTAGAAGCAAAACAAAACACCACTACTGGGGTTTCCACTCACTCTGCAGACAGTTGTCTGGTCTTCCCGAAAACTTCTTGAGGTTATCGTGCTAGAGTCTTATTCTTCGTAATTAATAAAATGGATTATTTTATTTTTGTTCCTTATATGACTATGATTCTCTCCACTTCAGCTCCACAATGAGATTCCAGATTCGTGTGGAATTTCTTAGTAATGTCCCATTGAAGTCACATTGGTGAAGTATAGTTTATAAGTTAACTAGACACCCTCTTCTTACAAAGCGCCTTTTGAGGGTGTGTTCTACTTGAAGGGCTTGTGGTCGTAGCATTAGTACTCTCATTGAGAGTCTTCGTTCTTGGAAAGAGTTGCCTATGGAGGGGCTGACCATCTGAAGGTTGAGTAAAGCACCGTGGAGTGTGAGCCATCGTGGACGTTGGCTCTTGAAGGGTGGGCTATGTTATGAGCCCCACGTCGGGAGACCACATTGGTAGAGTGTGGTTTATAAGTCAGCTGGCACCCTCCCCTTAAAGAGCCTTTTGAGGATGAGTTCTATCAAGAAGGCTTGTAGTTGTGACATTGGTACTGTTGTTGAGAGTCGCCATTCGTGAAAAGCCCACGGAGGGGGTGACCGGCCAAAAGTTGAGTGAAGCATCATAGAACATGAGCCATCATGGATGTTGGCTTTTAAGGGGTGGGTTGTGTTATGAACCTCATATCAGGAGGGCACATTTGTAAAGTATGGTTTATAAGTCAGTCAGGCACCGTCTTCCTACGAGGCGCCTTTTGGGGTGAGTTTTACTTGAAAGGCTTGTGGCCATGATATTGGTGTTCTTATTGAAAGCCGTTGTTTGTAGAAAGGACTACTCATGAAGAGGTTGACCAGCTAAAGGCCGATTGAAGCATCGTAGAGCATGCCTAACTAACTTATAAACCTTACACCTATTGTAAGGCTCACTGATGTGAGACTCATGACAAAGCCACCCTGTCAAGAGTTGACATCCATTGTAGCTTCACTCCACAGCACTTCACTCGACCTTCTGCTGGTCAGAATCCTCCGTAGGTAGCCCTTTTTTTGACACCAACCTCTCACCTAGAGAACTAATGTTACGACCACAAGCCCTCTAGATAAAACTCACCCTTAAAAAGTGCGTTGTAGGGGGAAGGGTACCCCGCTAACATATAAACCACACTCCAACAATGTTATCAGTCTTGATGTGAGACCCAGAACATAGCCCACCCTTTAAGAAGCGATGTTCGCAATGGCTTACTTTTCCTAATCCTTCACTCGGCCTTCAGCCAATTAGCCCTTTCATGGGCAGCTCTTTCCACAAATAGCAGCTTTCAACGAGAGCACCAATATCACGACCACAAACCTTCTATGTAGAACTTACCCCCAAAAAGCACCTCACAGGAAGAGGGTGCTCAACTGACTTATAAACCTCACTCTACTAATGTGGTCTCCCAATGTGGGACTCATCTAATCCAAAATCTCTCTCTCTCTCATGCATGCCAACCTCATTCGTCATCAATTATGTGTTATTCATCTTTCCCAAAAAGCATATATCCAAATCAAATCTACTCCTCATAATCGCATTGAACATTAAAATTGATATTCTGAAAGCATGAGTGTATGTACATATCAGTGCACTTGTATCATGTGTACATTGATCACTATATTATTCATGACATAACTTTGACGCCCTGGCTGCGCAGGTGACTCAAACGTTGTGTAGCAGGTTTATCTGATCTTCTTTTCCTTTACTGGTCCTCTGGGGATTTTGTTCAGATATTTCTTTTCGAACTTTATATATTTCTTCCTCAGGTCGAGGATGACATCTCCAACAAGATTGTCAATCTCTCGCTCATATCGTTCGTACAAAAAAGGCAGGATTTGCACGCATAGACAACCTTGTATCCACCCAACGTCAAAGAAAATGAAGGTGAGTTAGCGCGCGGCACATTTACTTTTTCAATAGAAAATCATGAACACAGAGAAACCTAGAAGTGGAGAAGTTGGTACCAAAGTAAAGCAGATTGACAAATCTGAAGTAGGTTCCAATCACTGCCAAGATATAGAGGGAAACAATGATCTGTAAAGATGAAAATTGTATGAGAAGTAAAATCTTAGGTTCACTTTCTGGTGGAGAGCTAAAGTTTACAGAGGGAAAAATCATAGGTGATGGTGATACCAGGAAAAACCGCGGTAGATCTTTTCCATAAGAAATGTAAAGGAGTGTTTGAATAAACTGATTAAATCTTGTGTGGATGATGGAAGCAAGGCTTTGGAAGAAAGAATCCTGTAAAATAATATCTGGGATCTGGGGACCACTCCTGAAGATGAAATAAATATTAGGCAAAATGGAACAGGAAGACTTCACTTGCATTTATATGAAGCAGAATTGGTACCATTTTAAGATATCTGCAAGTGTGGACCAAATAAAGAGCAGAAGCATGGTGGTAATGGAAACGTGACAGAGCAGGGTCACCAAATTGTACTCGACCACCTCAAATAGAAACCATATGGCTGTCACTCCAAGCAATAGGGCAGCTGATACATTTTTGTTCTTCCATAATAACACGTCTGCGACTGCAAGTTAAACTCCCCTTTTATCAGAATACCCAAAACTCCAAACATGATTAATGTTAACGTTACCAGACTGACAAACATGAAAATGGTACCTTTTCCTCCTCCAAGAACTTCATGTATAGGCCTTTCATGTTGAAAGAGCTTTGCTCGTAATGTGGTAATTTCATTCTCTGAATCAGATGCTTTGTGCGCCATGGTCTCTCTTGAACCCATGTTGTGATCATTTGGTTCTGTCACATGTATATATATATGCACATAGTCTTTCAAAAGAAGAGGGGATTCTTATCCTCTGCTGAATACAAAAGTAAGGAATGACTTGAAGCTTCGCTTGAAGATCGCTTAGAACGCCCGCCACCACTCCAGAGTATAATCTTTTTCTGGACTAGTCCTCATTCTTCGGCTTATGTGCCAACCATCACAGAATTCTCTTCCCAATTTAGTCCCTTAAGCATAAAGATAGATTCTTTGACTTAATTCTTCACAAATATAAAATTTATTAATAACCAGCTTGTTATCTGTGCAAAACATTGCACGAGTCCCCATCAAATCAAATTATACTTCAAAACAACAAAACACACGTTCAATATAAACTAAATATTTCTAAACACATCACTATTACTAAGTCAAATTAATGAAATTGTCTTCTTACTAAAATTATTTATCGGGAGAAGTAGATGGTCATTAATAATTGTTTTATTGATGAAGAATTAAAGCAAAAAAGTGTTTTTGGTGAGGGATTAAATTAAAATCATCTAAGTGTTTGAGCCTCGGGTTTGGTTAGAAAGCGCAATCATGGTTGATGATTCTGCTTCCCTGCACAATATTGTAAATCAGAAACTCAGATTGACATCTTCCCCAATTTGAGAACAGGCCCAAGTAGAATCATCAACTGTATAACTATATACGCAACATATCATAGGCCTTTGATGATGGACAAGTTTTAGGAATCATCTCTTTGAATTTCAACCATTTCCATCAATTATTGATTCAAGAAAAGCATAAACGAAAGAATGACGGCTGGACTGTATTGCCACTAAAACTACGCGTCAACATTTACATTACTCGTAGAATCTTCATTTCTAACTAATTATTTACATTAATTCACATTCTGCAGACACATTTAGAAATTAGAAGCACGCTCTCTTACTTATTAGTTATTACTTTGCTCTCTCTGCACACTTCAAACATCAGACACAACGTGCCATTACTGTCTCTGACGCTAACAATAAAGAGATGATTGGACAAACAAAAAAAGAAGAGAGCAAAGAGATGAATGTCGTGAAAAACGAAAGTTGGGTGCTCGACTGAGCTAATGCAGATTGATATGTGAGCTGATGATTGTGCGGCACGGTCCCTGACAAAATAGACTAATGTGAGCAATGATAAATCATCAATGATCAAGTGAGCATGAAGATTAATGAAAGTTGGCGGTACCATTATTTCAAGGTCCCACACGCTGCAGCTGCATGCATGATGACGACCACTTTAAATTTGACTTGGAACAAGGCCACGTTAATGCAGTAAAAACGAATGATGATGTGTGTTAATTCACGCTGATTCTATGTCTCTTTTACTTTTATCATATCAATTATCGTACAAGTGAGTGGATGATCGTTGTTGTTTGGCGTGCTTCAAGCACAATACCCTCTCTTTTAAACTAAACTATGATATGTTCCAGTAATGCGTTGCCAGATATCAAAATTTAAGAAACTCGACATTTACACACAAATGGATTGGATACCAATGCTCCAGCATGTACTGGCTTTTCCATTTCACAAGGGGGGAAAAGAGGAAGAAGCGATTTTTTTTTTTTTTTTTGAAAAAGGAAGAGAATGCTTTTCCTGTCTTAGCTGGTGAGAGATTTGCTTTTTCTTCCTCTGAGACAAGAGGTCAATGATAAATGCTGCAAATCTAAACAAAAACAAGACTTTCAGTTTTCAAAGATCAGGCGCCGCATTGGATGCGAATAAGTCACCACTTTTGTAGTTTTCCTTTAGATAAAAATTTCAGATTCGGAATATCAAATCCATCCATCCATCCATCCTTCTTTTTCTAAAGGAATCTTCAACAAGTGACGACGGCACTTTTACCTCATTACTATGCTGGAGTTCTGAAAGATGCCTTGAAGGGAAGATCAGAGAATGGTCTTAATTAGCTTGCTTCTTAGAGAAAATTTTACATGGCTAATCATACTCAATGTTCTTCATTTGCCTAAACCTCAAATTGTATAGTGCCACATCATGATGGCTAGTGATCATAAGATGGATCTCACAAGTCACTAGTTTCGCAGCGCCTGAAATCTTAATCACAAGAGAACATGTGGCGTTATTATAAGAACCATATTGGTGGATGTAAACAAATACTCACATCAACATCACCGAAAGGTACCACCGTAGTCCAAAGAGTGGTAGGTGGGTCATAATCCTTGCATGGACAGGAACAGAGAAAGCAATAGGACAAATGAACGGGAAAAGTTTTCTGCTTCTCATGTGCTTGAATTATACATGTCATCATGCTGTTAATAAAGATGCGAGAAACGGGCCCACTAGCATGCCCAGGAAATGATTTATTTCTTTCTAAATTTTCATCCCTTTAGCTCCTTAATTCAGAATATACCTAAGTGCCAAGACCATACGATTCAGAACCATGATGCTATAAATAAGTTCTGATGATTAAATATACTGGCAAAGGTCCAAACAAATTCGGAGAAGATAAACTAAAACGAAGTAATAAACAAGAAATCAAACACCAGCTGCATTATTATTGTTAGTGATATTTCGCTTTCTGATTGGGTGGGGAGGTTGACTTTCTTTTTTTTTTTTTCGCCTTTAAAAAACAGTATGAAAAAGGGGAAATCATTGTAGAAAATGAAACAGATTGGACTTTAGCAATTCCAACTTATCTGTTACAACTGGTTTGACCTTGAAGCTCCACCGAAAGGTGAGATATCATGCTCCTTGGTACTGACCTTAGAGGCCCTAATACTTCTGAAAATCTCTAAAACTAGATTCTACGAAACTCGAGAATGGAAGCTATACTGTTTACAACTATATAAGTAAGTAGTGAAAGAACACTTGGAAAATAATCATATAATCTTCACACGCATGTGCAAGAAAGTAATCTAGTCTGGAGAAAAAAGGACAGAGAAAAAACTCAAACTTGTGGACGTCACATCTAAACAGTTTACTGCTCGCCAATTCAATAAGATGTAGATTAAGTGCTAAACCTCTGGACTCGGGTAATTTTCCTCTTTAGAAGTGGGCCAAATCTCTATTTATTCTCCCTTCTGATGCTTCCATCCCACGTTTTCAGATCATTTCTATAATTAATAATTTACTTGTAAATGACATAAAAAAGAATTGCTCTACTTCCACCTCTTCTTTACCTTTGTTATGTTGCGTATGCTTTTTTAAAAAAATATTCTTCCGCCAGTTCGCCCTATAAATAGAGAGGAGGCTGAATCTGAAATACATCAGCAAAGAAGCATCATCCCTCTCATTATCACGCTCAAAGCTTAAAAGTCTCAGACATCCTTGGCTGAAAATGAAGGCATCAACCATTGCTCTGTGCACTCTGGTGGTGCTGCTTGTGGCCGAAGTCCAAATGTCAATGGCAGTGACATGCAGCCCAGCACAGCTGAGCGCATGTGTGAGTGCAATAACATCTTCAACTCCTCCATCTCAGCTATGCTGTTCCAAGATCAAGGAACAGAAACCTTGCCTCTGCCAATATGTCAAGAACCCTAACCTTAAGAAGTTTGTTGACTCTCCTAATGCCAGAAAAGTTGCTAGCACTTGTGGGACCCCCTTCCCGAGGTGCTGAAACTAAGAAAGAGACTCTAATTCTCTGCCTCCATACATTATACGTCTAGATGATGCATGGTGTTATGGCCAGAGATTTGAAGGAGAAGATAATGTCATATTCTGTGTGGTCTGTCATATATATGTTTCACTACAAGTAAAACCACTAGTTGTAATGGATGTGATGCTGTGGTCCCGTGTCATTGCATTTGGTTCCTTGGCGTGGTTTCATCTTGCATTTCTTGCTGCAAAATGCTGTATGGTATTTATAATTTAAAGCAGTGTCACACTATAACTATTTCCTATCACCCTCTGTCTCTATCTCTCACTTTTAAGTTTAACCCGAATCATTACAGAAGCAGCTGTCAATCTTCTGGATGAGTAACTAAAACTTAAAAAGAGAACGACAAATCTGATTTAGAGTATTCAAGTCCAAGAATGCTAGTGGATATTATCAGAATATTTATAGCGCAGCCCAGCGGTTAGCCAAGTTAATGATGCGACTAGGAATGCTTTGTGTTCGTTAACGACTATGTACAACTAATTGTCATCTGAGTGATTGATCGTCGCTTGGCAAAGATCTTTTTTTTCTTCTCTTCCCCGTGTTTCTTCTCCTCTGCCCATCATGGTACCGGAGCATCTCTCTGGCGAGGTTTCTTTTGAGTCTTTGCCGTGATTGATATAAAATGTAGATGTTGTTCTCCAGAAGCCTTTGGAAGAAAATCACTGTGCTTAGTTTAACAGTTTATGATGCTGTCATTCTATCGCCACACACGGATTGCACTTTGTCAATCAATGCACTCTGCTGCGACCACGAACAACCAAAGAAAAACTGATTTGATTAATTTTTAGAATATATTAAAAAATTTATGATACTTTTACCCTTTCATCCTCTTTTATTCGAGGCTCATATGCTTCTGAATTCTGTTTGGCTTTTGTTAAAATACCCATTTTTTATTCTAAAATTTAAAGGGATCAAATATCAGATATCCCCGTAAATCATTCAAGCCTGAATAACATTTACAATTAAAAATGAGATTCTTTGATAATTACACATTAATGCCTGTATAACCTCTCAAGTTCTATAATGTTCTCTCTAAATATTTTTATACTTATACTGATCCTGTTGTTTAGCATGGGCAACTCAGAGAAAAATCTTCATGTTACACACACAGCTTGACAAATCAATGAATAGAAGTGCAGGTAACCGTGAACTTGCTGAATGCAAGTCTAATAAAGTGTAGTAACTTTGTTGATCACCGTTATCGTAAATGACTAATTCGGTCAAGAGATAACAAAACTTCAGTATCAATAGAAGTAGACGAATTTTTGCCATTGGACTTCTTTCAATGTACTTGGTTGGAGGGGTTCAGAGGAAAATGGAGGGATTTTGCCATGCTTTCCTTTCCTCTTTTGGTTAAATAAAATGGCAGTTAGTGCTCTCATCTCTTGACTTGGTTAGAAAAAGAGTTTCCCTCCCCTCTAAAAGTAGAACTTAGAAGCATCGTTAAAATTTCTTCCATCCAATCAACCCAAATAAGGGATGATTAAAATTCTTCCCGTTCCCTCCATTTCATTGAACAAAATATTATGTTAACCACGGAAGTGTTGAATGCAAGAGATAGCAGCAACCTTGTCATTATAATAGAAAAACCAAGAATATTCCCAACAAACGACAAAAGGAGCAGAGTATATCAATGTTCAATTTTTGTATGCCTTCTCATGTGAATCATCAGGCAGGTATGAATTCTGGTGAAATTAATTTTACAAACAGTTTGGATCCCAGGAAAGAGAAGTTCCAGTTCTTGCACTTCTAATGCTCTTAAGCCTATCCAACACTTCTTCCATGCAAGGTCTCCTATCTCTGTGGCGTTGCAAACAGCTACATGCCAACTCTGCCACTGCATTAATTGATTGAGTAATCCAGTCATCTGATTCAAATCCAAGAGCAGGATCCACAAGGCTTCCAAGTTGTCTGCCACGGATTTTATTGACGGCATAATCAGAAAGGCAGGGATGTTCATAATCCTCAAAAAATGCTGGCTGGGATGATATTAGCTCAATCAGCACTACTCCATAGCTATACACATCACTCTTATCAGAAAGATGGCAACGCTCATAATACTCTGGATCAATATAACCAGGAGTCCCATCAGGATCAGTTGTGATATGGGTAACACCTAGTGGGAAAAGGTGTGACAATCCATAGTCGGCAACTTTAGCATTGAAGCTGTGGTCAAGAAGAATATTGCAGCTTTTCACATCACGGTGTATTATATTGCAAGAATGGAGATAAGCCAATGCACTTGCTGTTTGTATGGCAACATTTAATCGGATATGCCAGGGGAGTGTACCAGGTTGGAGCAGGGAATCAAGAAGACATTTAGCGAGATTTCCTTTGGACATGTATTCTTGCACTAGAAGTAGTTCACTGCTTTGAGAAGAGATGCAGCCATATAGTTGGACAAGGTTTTCATGGCTCACAGAAGTTAACATTGAAACTTCACTCATGAACTTTCCGAGTTTCTCGCTGTGGAGCTTCTCGTCATGTAACCTTAGGGCCCTGAACTTGTCTTCATGCAACTGCTTTATTGCAACAGAATGCCCATCTTTAAGAATTCCTGTAACATTTTGAAAAAAAAATAATAAGTAATATATAACTTTATCCAAACCATTTTTCTTTATGGCTAATCTTGTCAAATGAAGAAGCCAGACTATCAACAGTCTAGAACGAACAAACTGTCTCATGATTTTCGTAGCATGCATAAAATTTTACTGAAAAGGCATGATTAAGAATTGAAAATATCAAAATATTATATCCATGATCAGCTTATGACAAAATATGAAGTCCCATTTAGCAGTAGGCTTACTATTTAAAGGTTTTAATTGAATAAATTCAATTGAAACTTCTACACCATCAAACTTCAAATCTAGTAATCAAATCCTAAATCTTTCAGGTTTAACGTTAACTACAGTTGGTTGAGCCTACACGGTGATATTTCTACAATATAAATCAAAATCTCTTTTTTCTATCATGCGCAAAATCCCGTTTTGTGATGTTCCAGTTCATTTAACTGGACAATGTCCGAAATTATAGCAATCATGAATTAAACTTCCCCTTTATGATTCATCTTATCCTGAACAAAAGAAACCTTGTCCCAGTAAAGCTGCTCTATCATTGGAATCGAGACCGTATTTCATTTTGTTTTCATCAATTGTCCACCACTAACCTGGTTGCCTTTTATAATTACAGGCACATCGCATTCTGCATATTTGCCCCCTAAATTTAAATTTAATGTGTTTCTCATCACTTTACCATCAGGAAGCTCTACGCCCTACAACTAACCTAATGATAAATTGATAATATTCCCAATTTCCCACCTGCACATTTCACTTAAGGGACTGGCGCGCATATTTGTCCTCCAAATCCAAATCCACTATCATTGAAGTTCCTTAGTTCATTTTTTCTCATATTTTATGCAGCGGTTGGTATTCACAAAATAAAAACTATTCCAACATTTTGTACAAGAAAAACGAAAGGTTAACTTTTTTGCGGGTGTAATCTTATACAGAAGATATCAAAAGGGAGGTTTCGGTGCATTTACCGCAAATACACTCAACACTGTATAAGATGAAGTTAGAAACATGATGGATGATGCTAAAAGGTTAAGAGTACAATTTTAATAAAACCGGATTTCAATCGTTATGGCATGCGCTGATATATGCCTTAAGTCCTAATCCTAACTCTACGTAAGCATCATAAATATTGAAAATTGAGATCCAGGGGATTTTCTTACCAAGGTATACCGTCCCATGTTTTCCTCTCCCAAGCTCTCTGTCGGAGTCAAAATTGTTGGTGGCTATTTTAAGTTCAGAATACTTGAATATTTTATTTCTGCTGCCGTGGCCGCTCAGTACCTCAGATCGAACATGGTTGATCGGTACCTCAGAAACCACAGGCACCGATTGGACCGGGCTGCAACGGTTGCTAGTTACCTCAACATTCACACTCACTATTTGACTCCTTTTCCCCTCACAATTACTAGGGGTCGAAGCATCGTTTTTACTTACACTGGGGACGAAACACTGAGATATAAAGGAGAAGATCGGCATTGTCACGGCTTATGAGCAGTGCCCAACATTTAGTCCAACAATAAATAGACCTGAAGGGATTGTGTTCTATTTGATTTCAGTCAATGGACAGATGAAAAAAAAATCATAGCAAAAATCAAATTCACACGAAAACGGTTCTCCCAGGTCATTACGAAGAAGGCAGAGTCATAAACAGGCAAGAAAAAGTTGAATCAATAAAGATGTTCAATTAGAGAGTCTCACCTTGGAAACTAGGCGATGCAAATATTCATCCAGTCACCAAAATAACTCACAGGATAGAGAAGGCACTCTGCCAGAACAAAAGGGAGGGATCGAAAATTCGAAGCGCAATAATGGAAATTTCGGGGCGTGTTAAGTAGAGGAAGTTGATGATGACATTTCTAGGAACATATTCAGTTTTTTTGGCCCTTCCGAAGCTAAACACGCCCTTAATGAGGCCGAAACGCGTAAGAAGAGGGGGAAATGGGGGAAAAAAGTAAACAGATAGAGGTGCAAAGGGAAGGAAAGGAAAGAAAGAAGAAGCAGCACTATGAGCGGAACGAAGAATGACCTGAAACTGAAGTCAACAGAAGCAGGGCGGTCAATAATTAATATCCTGAAAAAATTATATATGTTGGTAAATAATACAGGTTATGGTAGATTCTATTTACAATTTATATGGAATTATGGATGATATGGATGTATTAAAAAAATTAAAAAAATAAAAAAGTAAAGGAGCACCCTAATGAGGACCAACAAGTATGTGAGACGGTAAAAATGTTAGTTTAAAGTTAGAAAGATGCCTTAACCTAAATTTGGAGGTAGCATCATATAATATTTTAAGAATCGAACAGTCGAATCATCACCTGTTGAAAAAAATAGGCTTATTTAACCAATTAACACGTATTAGCAGTTGCCCCGCCTAGAATTGGATGATTTTTAAAGACTTAAAAAAAACTCAAAACTCGAAGTGAGTTTTTGTGGGCCAAAAGCAAGTCACAAAAAAGAGGATAAAATTGGTATTTTGAAAAATAAAAAACCCTTCTCCTCACTCTACCTAGCAGACTGACACCTATAAGGACCCATTCTACTTCTTTTCAATCTTAGTTCTCTCTGTCTCGCACAATGCACGCGCTCGTTCTCATCGCTTTCTGAAATCTCAACCATCTGGGTTCTGTTATGTATGTCTTCACCCTCAAGCCACTCAGCCATCTGGGCTTTGTCTTCATCATCTTCACCGTTCAACCATCTTGGACTCACTTTCTCAACCATTTAGGTTCTATGTTCACCCTTCATTGTCTTCACCATTCAACTTCAACCATCTTGGACTCTCTCAAACTTCAGATGCTTCTTTATTTTTCATCTTCACTTCACTTTTTTCATTTTGGTTCGTGACTTCGCATTTTTTGTTAACTCTAGTGTAGGCATGAAGCTATCAAAGACAGTTAGATGGCATCGAGCTCAACCCCGTTCTTCATTCTTCACCTTCTTCATCGATTACTGTCTCTCTCTCAGTCTCGAGGAGGTTTTTTTTCTTCCTTATTTTTTTCTCTATCCAATTTAATCTAATCTCCATGGTTCTAAATGGAGCAAAATAAATGCTAATGGATTAGCTTATTTTTTTATTATTTGAGTTGTTTATTGCAAATGAAGGATTGTTAAATGAATGAAGATGAATCTATTTTTTATTGTCTAAGAGTTGCTTATTGTAAATAGAGGTTTTATTTTTTTCAAGTGACTATGCCTAAATTCTGATGTATTCAAGAATCTAGTGTTGTATTTTTGCTAGCTTGTTACTTATATATATATAATTTTTTATTTAATTATTAGGTCACCAGTCCAATCACCGATTTAACCGATTGAACTATGAGACTCGTGATCTATTAATATTTTCAGTTCGCTGTTTGATTCAAGTTTTAAAACATTGGCATCATGGGTCCTTGTTAGAAGCAGGGGGCGAAGGCGGAAGAAGCTTGTGTTTTGGTTGCAGATTTTTTTTTTGAATTGGAGGCCATGGATAAACCGTGCTAATTGACAAGATGAGTCATGTCAACATATAAGATATTACAACAACTAGGCGGCAGGATATCGAAGATACGAATACAAAGATTGTCAGTGTAAGCTTGATGAGATAACCAATCGGCACATCTATTTGCCTCCCTGAAAGTGTGATCGAACGTGATTGTCCAATCTCGCATAATGAGATATCTGATTCTACTAATGATAGCAGTGAGTAGATGAGTAGTAGAGAACTCATTGTGAATTAACGAGAGAGCTTCTGTAGAATCAGTGTAGACATTAACTTTCTCGAACTTCTCTACCCAATAAAAATTTAAATCTTTTAAGATGTTCATAAGTTCGGTAGCTGTACTTGGGAAATAACCGAATACATTTGTAGGCAACAATAGCGGCAGGCGGCAGCACTAGCGTCGGTGGGTATAATTTGAGCAAAATGCAAACTGTTTTTGGCTTACTGGAGATTTAGTGGGCTCTTTCTGGTGCGTAAATAGTTCTGGGCCTAAAATGTTTTATAAATACAAGAGGGGAGCGTGCTTTATGGACATGAAAAGCAGGAAAGGCAGCGAATCGGATGCCATATAGATTTAAATTAATACAAACGCAGCTGCATAGTCAACACACAACAGCTCTGCCTCCATCTCTTTTCCCTTCCCTCTTCTGCTTCCATGTGCTCCAATATTATATCATATTTTTCTCCCCTCCTCCTATCTTTCCCCACCCATCCCTTCCCTCCATGGCCATGGACGTCCAGTTGCATTCTCCTGCTTTCTTCCTTCCGTGCATAATTCTTGCCATCTCCTTCTTCTGAGTAGAATCACACGGTCACGACATGCAAGGCACCGGTTACTCTGCGTGTAATCACACTTACAATTGTGGGAATATCAATAACATCGCTTACCCTTTCTGGGGACAGAATCGACCCCCTTATGGCGGCTGCAGCAATCAATTCGAGCTCACCTGCCAAAATGATACCACCTTCATCACTGTCGGCCAACAAAAGTTCACGGTGGTCTCCATTAACCCAGAATTTTACTCCATGAAACTGGTGCAAACTGCTCTCTCCGTTTCTTGTCCCTGGAATTTCGCTAACACTTCCTTGGATCCTGCTCTCTTTCGCTTTGATAATTTAACAATTCAGAACTTGACCTTATTCCACGACTGCCCTCCTCGAGTCTCAAGCCCGGCCAACATCACTTGCCATCGTGGTCAAAAGGGTGAGGGCAGCGTTGCTTTTTTTGCGAAGCAAGACGAGAAGCAAAAACTGCAAACGTTTTCGAAATGTAAGGCTCGTAATCAGATTCTAGTTCAAGGTGGGATTTCGGATGTCGAAGACACGGGTGTGCTGAATAAATCTTTAAGGAATGGGTTCGTTGTTCAGTACGTTGCAAACTGGGATGCGTGCTTGGCATGCAATTCTTCGGGAGGAATATGTGGGGCTGACATCCATGATGCTTACCGATTTGCCTGTCACTGCCGGAACGGGATTCGTCGTCCTTATTCCTGTCCAAAAAGTATGCCTTCTTCCGTCTTTCTTTTATTTTTCTTTTTTTTTTTTGTTAGAGATTACCATCAAATGAGAAAACCACGGTGATGCCCGGGATATGGGTTAAAGGAGAATAGATAGTATAAATTAAAATTTGTCGTGCTCTATAGTGAATAGGAAGATGGAGACGAGGAAGAAGCAGTTTGCTTCAAGAAGAAAAGCATGGCAATGGATTAGTCTAGCAAAACAAAACAGAGACAGCGACCGGAGTCGGGATTAGGTGTGAATATTGTAGAAACCTTGAGGGCCGTTGATTTTTATCTTGGCCCATGCAAAGGAACAAAAAACGAATGTGTAGGAGTAGCAGTTGAGAGTTGAGTGGCGTGGTATAAAGTTAAAAATTAGGAAAAGGGGTTGAAGTGAGGGCGAAGAATAAGAAGAGACATGGTGGTTGATTAGTCATATATGAATATTTGCGAAGTTAAATCCTGAGAAAGAGGGAAAACCTGTGTTTGTGAGAGCAAAACATGTGGGCAGCATCATTAGTGGTTATATCTACCATTGAAGGACGGGGAAGTAGCTCCTTTGCAGTCTGCATTTAGGCGTTGAATAATGAATAATGAATAATGAATGGTGGCAATAGTATCTCAGTTATATTATGCGAGACCCATCATGATTTTAAATTCACCTCCAAATTGAAATTTGGTTGCCCCTGCGCTGCCTTTGTCGTATCATACATTACTGTTCTCACACTGCAATTCTAGAGATGACTGTGCGTGGATGTCTGCACTAAATTCTAATGTTAAAATTTTTTTTAAATAAACAATATTAACTTCGAGTCTAAATTTCTGGGCTTTAAAAAATATTTGAAATGATCTTCAAGGTAAAATATTTAATTTAAAATATTAGACTATAACACATTTAATTTAATTTAATTTAAAAAAAAAACTGTTATTGTTTCTGCTTTTCTGGTGATTTTACCCGTCAACGGAGTTGCCGAATTGCATGCAAAGTCTTCAGTTTCTTTCCTTCTTAAAGGTCCACCACGTACGTCTCTATCATCTCGTCCCACTCTTCATTTTCTTCTCTCTCTTTTTTTTACCATAAACGAGAGAAGGGATTTCAACGGAAGAAAAGGAAAATTTGTTTTGGCTGGGAGGAAGAATTAAAAAGGATTTTAATATTCGGTTTTTGTTATGAATTTTTTATTCGCGTCTTTTTTATGAACACAAAAAGGGTCGGAAGCACGAGGATGCACAGTAATGATGATGATGACACGAGAAGTGCGGATGAAATATTATGCTAAGATCTTATGGGCAGTGTCCGGAAGATTTATTAATACATTTACAGATCATCAATTTCTTTTGCACAGGAGTACACCTTTTTTTTTTTTTTTTTGAGTGTGAGATAACATTGAATAAAGAAACGAAATCAGTGAAAATAATTTATCTTCTGCTTCAAAAACTTCACATTTGGAGGCAGGTGAGGGATGGCACTCCATAAGAATTAGTTATAATATATTTTCACCGAACTATGATATAAAATATCTTCTAAAAATCTTATCTTATTCAAAATATAAAACATTAGATAATTTTTATTTTTATTTTTTAACTATAACTCTACTTCATTTATTATTTTTTTAAAAGATCATGTATTAAAACTTTAATTAATATTATCAAGACTCTTATATTTTTAATAAAGATATAAATAAATAGATGTTGATATTTTTAAAAATTTAAAATTTTAATTAACATTATTAATAAATTATTAATTAATTAATTATGATTTATCTTGTGGTTGGGACGGAGAATCAATGTAAGAGATGACAATGCAGACAGACTTCTCCCTTCTCCACTTTTCCATCTAACCTCACTCATCAAAGTCACAATCTCGTTCATTCACATTCACTTTCTATATTTTAAGTAGGAAAAATTAATCATTTGATATTTATAATTTTAATTTAATTATAACTTAATTTTTAAATTTTAATTTATTATAATTCAATTTTTAAAATTTTGATTTAGTTGTAAATTAGTCTCTGAACTTTATCCCTTGTAATTTAGTCTCTGAAGTTTTAACATTTTAAATATTAGTCTCTATATTTAAAAAAATAAAATAAAAAAATTAATTTTTTTAAAATTTTAATTTTTATAAATATTAAAAGGGTTTAGTAATTTAAGATATTAGTAATTTATTTTAAAAAATTTTCAATCTTTATAATTTTATTTTTAAAATATAAGGATTAATATTTAATAGGTTAAAATTTCAGGAATTAAATTATAAGAGACAAAATTTAGGAATTGATTTACAGTCAAGTTAAAACTTTAAGGGTTGAATTATAATGAGTTAAAATTTAAAAATTAAATTATAATTAAATTAAAATTATAGAGAATAAATGATTATTTTTTTTTTAAATAATACCGTTTTCATGCTATGTGCCACCGAACGCAGCCCCCAGCTGCAATGCTTCTTCTTGGACGTATTCGGTGGGTATACAAAAATGTACGTTCTTGACTGCTTAAATAGGAATTGATTTCCCTGCTTATCCCACATGCTCATCAGATCGTTTAGATTTTTAATTTGAATAATTTAAATTTAAAGTATTATTATTATATATTATATTTATTAAAATAAAAATTATAAAATATTTTTGATAATTTTTTATTTTTAATCTACTCTAAATTTAATTTAAAAGATTCAATTTAATATTAAAATTTTTATAATTGATGTATATTAAAAGTTTAAATTTATTCTGCATAATTCAGGACTATGCAAAGTACATCTAAATAATCAATATATATCAATTATAAAAATTTTAATATTAAATTAAACTCGCCAAATTAAATCTAGACAATATTAAAAATAAAAAATTATTAAAACAATTTTTATAAATTTTTATTTTAATAAATATAACATATAATAATATATTAAGTTTGGATCATCCAGATCTCATCCTTAGGACCAGCTTGAATATATTGTGACGTCACCTTTAGTGAAAATGATGGGATCTTTTCTTTCAAGTATTCCCTCCAATTTCATTTATAAATCATGATATTTCTTTTTAGATAATATTTAAAAAGTATTTTTAAAACTATACTTCATGAGAGAGAAAAAGTAACATGACATTACTTTTTAGATTTGTTATATAAGGGCATATTTAAAATTTTATATATTTTTATTTCTTACATTTTTTTGCATTCATTGATGAGATTCATAAAAATGACTTATAAAGAGCATGGGAGGAATACTGTTTTAGCCTTCTCCTGCACGTATCTTCTTGTCTTTCGAGAAAGACGTACGTACTTGAGCCATTTTACCATACATAGCTCTAGCTTATGACATCTTATATCATGGCCGCCAAACCCAGAGAAGAGTTCATCTACCTGACGAGAACAAGCTTGTGCGACTGGAAGTTGGCCGGCTTGTAATTAATGTTGTTTAAACACTGTGTTGTCTTCCTCCAGCTTTTCCAAATACCGATTTATGCGCATAACATACCCAATGTGAAATTAAAAGCCAAGTATGGTGGACTATGGTACGTAACGCATTTCCAAAAATTCTCTACTCTGGAGCAAGTCATTTAAGGTTGTAGAGCAACCAATCGAGACTCCATAAAATTCCCAGCATTACATACACCTATTTTCCCCGTCTGACTTTTGCTTCTATCTCCTGGCTGATATAATATCACATTACGTTATAAGTATCAATGCTCTAATTAACCTAGCTAGCTATTTGCTTTTACTGATTACCGTTGCAGAAAGACATTGGAACTGGAAAGGGAAACTCATAGCAGGTAATGGCTCCAAAGCTTCTTATTTTTCCCGCAACCGGCCAGGTGGTGCTGCTGCTTCATTCAGTGTGATAGTCATGAGCATTGGCCTCTATTTCTATCGGCGCCGAAAGAAGAATCGTCATGCAAAATCAGGCGAACAATCTCAGGGCCGGACCATATCTTCCGATTCCTCTATAAACGATGCTGAGAAAGGAAGTAAATACTTTGGAGTTCACCTCTTCACCTATACCGAACTTGAAGAGGCCACCAACAGCTTTGATTCAGCCAATGAACTTGGAGATGGGGGTTTTGGAACAGTTTATTGCGGTAAGAGTGGACAATCTTTATTCTTTGCACGGGACCAGGGACGTATCTGCATTTGGAATAGAGGGGGCAATTAATTGGCCCCCGCTAGAAAAATAAAAATTTTATCTAAATTTTAATTAAAACTACACTTGTCTCCCCTTTAAAATTATTATTGCCCCCATAAAAAATTAATTTCCCCACACTCTCTTTAAATTATTAAGCATACATATTTAAAAACATTGTTTACTCATATTTATTATAAAAATAAATTTATGATGCAAATGACATTAATATATATTTTTAAAATTATCATACTTTTTATTTATATATTATTTTTATTAATATATAGAATTATATTTTTTTTCAAAATAATTAATATTTATATTTAGTACTCCCTCCGCTAGAAAAATGTAAGATATTTTTTGAGAATTAGGTATTCAAAAATGTAAAATATTTTTAACTTTTTAAGGTGTAATCATTATTTTTTTTTAAAAAAAACATCCCTATTAATAAATGACTTTATATTTATTGTAAGTTATTTAACAAGGGTAAATATAAAAAGATAAGATTAGTTAAAAAATAGGTAACTACTTTATTGAGGGGTGAGATTCGGTTAAAAATAACTTATATTCTTTAACAGAGAAAGTATAAATTTTACCCTCACTAATAAATTTTTCTGGATCTGTCACTGCACGGGACTATAGTTTTTCTCAAGTGTTCACTATCAAGCATCCTTTTCAATCAACGTATATATAACAAGTTGAGGAAATTTTCAATCAAGTACGAAACATCTCCTTATCTGCTGATAGTAAAACATGCATAAAGCTGCACATAATCACTGACCAAGAATCTTGCTTTGTGGTATCTCTCTGTTCAAGGAAAACTAGGCGATGGTCGCACAGTTGCGGTGAAGAGATTGTATGAAAACAATGGCAGGAGAGTTGAGCAGTTCATGAATGAAGTCGAGATCTTAACTCGTGTGCGCCACCAAAACCTTGTCCAACTTTATGGCTGCACTTCTCGCCATAGCCGTGAACTTCTGCTTGTATATGAATACATTCCTAACGGGACAGTTGCCGATCATCTTCACGGCCAAAGAGCAAAACCAGAGACACTCCCATGGCATACCAGAGTGAATATAGCCATAGAGACTGCGAGTGGATTGGCATATCTTCATGCATCTGACATCATCCACCGTGATATAAAAACCACCAACATCCTTCTGGACAATCATTTCGTTGTGAAAGTGGCAGATTTTGGACTTTCTCGTCTCTTCCCAAATGATGTCACTCACATTTCAACAGCCCCACAGGGAACTCCTGGGTATGTGGATCCAGAGTACCACCAGTGCTACCAACTAACTGACAAGAGTGATGTATATAGCTTTGGAGTGGTGTTTGTCCAGTTGATATCGTCAATGCCTGCTATTGATATCACCAGGCATAGGCATGAGATCAATTTGGCAGCCATGGCCATTAACAAGATTCAAAGCGGGAACTTGCATGATCTTGTGGATCCAACTCTTGGGTTTGAAGCAGATTCCAAGGTGAGGAAGATGATAAATGGAGTGGCAGAGTTGGCCTTCCGGTGCTTGCAGACTCTGAAAGATACGAGGCCTTGCATGGAAGAGGTGGTAGAAAGATTGAAGGAAATACAGAGTGATGGGACAGGTAAAACGAAAGCTGAGGAGATGGATATCTCAGCAGATCATGTTGTGTTGCTGAAGAACGAAGTGCCTCCACTGTCACCTGATTCAAATATGAGGAGCACGGCCACGACGCCAAATGCCAGCGAATAAACTGCGATTCCAATGAATATCAGCCAGCAAAGTGATCAAAGTGATTGCAGAGAAAGCATCTAGTGTGTCCAGTAGGAGCCCGGATCGTGATATCGCTCCAACCTCCAAGATTGAGATGTGCAGAGAAGACGAGAAAAGACAATGAATGCTTTTTTGTTTTGGGGATCAAAGACAATGAATGCTTTAAATTGCGTTGTAGAGTTTAAAAGGAGAAGAGTTTTAATCCTTTAAAATTGGGGTTGGTAAAATTTTGTAAAGTTTTTTTATTTTAAAAAAGAAAAAGAATATTTTATATATTTTATAAAAAATAATAAAATGAGTGAAAATACTGAAAACAAAAAAAAATTTACCTAAATTTAGCAACCTTTTTTTTTAAGCAAACCTAACTTCAAAAGATTTAAATCCTTTCTTATAGGAATAAGTACAATATTATTTTCGAATAATTAGGATGATTGGAATAATAACTATAAGGATTTGGTCAAATTTTACAATAGAAAAATTACGCTCAAGAAATCAAATCGCATCAATTATTAATTATAATTAATAAAATAAAAGAAACATGATTCAGACAAGGACGTAACCCGTTCCTTATTCTAACATGCCCTTTGTAATTACAATCTTTTTATTTTTGTATATTTTAATCAAACCTTGAAAGGCTGTGGGACGGATAGCTTATGAGTTTGACCACTGGATCGTTTCTATTTCTAAGATGCCCTTTTCTCCATACGTTATCGATCCGCTTTCTCATAGTTGAATGCGTTGCCCTCCCTATGCCTGCTATCACAGTAAAGGATCCAATTTTATTTTATTTTTTTGCAACAATGGGATGAGTTGAACCGCAAAAATGCCCATTACTCTGCTCAATATTAATGTTTGGAAATGGGATTTTCTCTTCGATTAAAAAAAATAAACAAAAAAGAAAACGGGAATCCTTTTTTTTTTTTATACAAATAGGATTGCAGAAGGTCCATTTCAATAACTCATTTGCTTCAGAGATAGGATTCGGTATTATTCGATGAGGATAGAAACTCCAAACCAAAGCGCAAAATAGGAGAACAGACCGCATGCATGAAAGGATGTTCACGTTGCAGCACGCCGTGTTGCAGAGAGAGGAGTCTCTAATTGTTGAACATCAAAGGGCTGGTTGACTTTTGAATTATATAGAGCCGTAACCTTAAATGGGCCAGAAACTCCCCACAAATTAAGATATGCTGTATGAGATTTGGTGAAAGAGAGAATACAAGCCCAACTTATACAGCTAAGTCATGACATTCACATTAGTGAATAGTGCATGGAGATGCAGTTTGTCAACAGGCTAATAAACAAGAATAGGATCATCTTCAGCTTAGTACAGTAACGGGAGATGATCTTTTCTCAATCAACTCAGCTCCTACTTCCAGATTTAGAGTAAAAATAATTTCAGGGCCACTTGGGGGGTCCATGGATGACAGATCCTGAAGGCGTCATATTGTCAACATCTGATTGTGACTCTGAGAAGCTGAAAGGGCAGGCATTCCCAAGCAGCGTAGGATATGCTGGATTCAACGTCGGCCACTCACTGCCTCCCGCCACTTGACCATTGCCCAGTCCAAAGTTGGCCGCTTCTATTGAGTTATCTCCAAAGAGATCGCAACTGACTTGATGGCTTTCTGGAATTTGATCCACTACTGTTTCCCCTATCCGTTTCATTTCCAATATTAATTCTGAAAGAAAGTGTTTTTAATTTGTTTGAAGAGATCAATGTATGGATACCTTGCCCTTGATCAGTTAACAAGGAATTGTTATCATTCAAAAGCCCTTCAGGCTCTGCTTCCTCCAACGTGTCCCATCTGGCGTATGCTTCTCTCACCAGCTTCTCGATGTAGCTCTGCTAATGTCACCATCCTCATTCATTCATTTATCACAAGCATGTTTAATTTGTGGGAACTTAAATAATATCGAGGACAGATGAATTGGCCATGTGTACCGTATTCATGTTGTTGAGGTCTCTGTCTTGCAGGATCTGACCATTGATATCAGCTCTGACCACTTGGCATATGGGATCCAGAAACACCGCAAACTGAGGCCCACGGTATACGTAAAGCTTCTTCTCCATCTTACAGCTCCTCGCATGCTTCAACGTCGCTTCCCACATTTTCTCAGACATCCCTATCCCTAATATCTAATTTTGCAAACCATGTATCCATGTTGTTCTTAATCAATAATATCAATTTCCGTGTGTGTGTGTGTGTGTGTGTGTGAGTGAGAGAGAGAGAGAGAGAGAGAGAGAGAGAATTAGAACACGTACAAAGCAGTACAGAAGAGTATTTAGATTTATATAATATATACCTCTCTGAGTCTAGCAGGATCCACCACAGACAGCTTGAGAAACTCCTGAACATTGTTAATACCCTCTGAGGACAACTTCTTGTGAAATGCCCCATCCTTCCCGATCTTCTCTAGCCGCCACACTTCGTCTTGCAAAACTGGTGGATGGTGCTTTTTGTACACTTCGTTTATATATGTGCATGAAAATAAGCATCTTTTAGGTGCTACATATATGTAATATATTATGCGGTGTGTAAATATCAATATAATATATTTTACTTTTCAAGACAACAAAAAAAAAAAAGACATTTTTTAGTCTTGAAGTAGTCGAAAAACCCCCAGCGTCTAAAGTAGGAAAAAAGTTTATATATCGTTCGTGATTGCGCATTTTATGATATATCCACAAACATTTCAATCTTAATTGAAGGTTAGAGTATAAATATATTCATTCATTAGAATTCAACCAGATTTTGTAGCTTATTCTAAGCAAATTAAGACCAATATAATTTGGAATATGTTAGAGCACTAGAAAGAGAGCACACAATTAATTATATCTCAATTTAAAATTTAAAATTATAATTATTTATCCTAAATTATAAAAAAAAGTTTGACCTTTATTATGCCCTAGAAGCCGTTTGTCTGAGATGCAGGACCAACGAAATTTTGCAAACTAATTAAGTTGTGATTATCATATGTTTTCACTAAATATTGGTTGTATCATTAATAAACCTCTTAGCTGATTTAGTTTGACCAAACCATCACTTTCTTTCCAGTCAAGATATGTATATATAGAAAAGGGTCGATGCAAACAAACTAAATTGAAGAAAAAGGAGTTAGGATGACAGCCAAAATTGCTTGTATTCGGAAGGGTGAAAGGGATGTACAAAAGCTTCAATTAAATGGGTATATATATATATATATATAAACTTTTCACAGTTAATACTTTAGTTATGAGTTGAACATAATAGCACCCACCAAAAAATTAGTGCCCTAGCTATCAAATCATTTCGCGATCGATTTATTTCTTCATTTTATTTTCTGGCATATTGAATGATCATGGGGTGAACCAAGATGATGCGACAGTGCATATTCTTCGATGTACATACATACGCCTCCCTCATGAATACGTATATGAATAATTATTTACTATCGCCCCAAAACATTCAAAACCTAAATGTGTGTGTCTCTCTCTCTATATATACACTTGCACCATGCAATTAATAATAAAGGTTCTGTAGAAAGGAGATGAACATAATTGGATGCTTGCGAATAGCAGTGGACATAACGTGAATTCTTATGTATTGCAGGGAAAAAAGTAATGGCGGGTAAGAATATATACTTACATTCGCCTCGATGATCCTTGACGACAAAAGATTCAGTGAAGCCTTCGAGAATCCTAGGACCTCGATTGGTCTGAGGAACCACTTTGACAGCAACTCTGAACTTCCTGCTCCTGATCCAACTCGAGTTATCCGTAAACTCAATGTCCCCACCCAAACATGCGATGCCATTTCTCACGGTCATGTTGAGTTCTCCAGCGAGCAAGGGTCGCTTTCCTGCTCTCTCCTTCACTATGTGGTTGTTGAATTCGTCGCTGGTCCATTCTTGCTTATCAGCAGGCGGGAAATCTCCATCGAGAACCACAACTTCTAGCCTCATGGGATAAGGCACACTTGTAGGAACCCTTCGATCCCCACTTTTGTCTACGAGAACCACCTGGATTGGCTTCCCATTAATATCCAGTATTTTGCTTCCCGTGAATATAGGGAGCCTCAGCTTTTCCTTAAAGCTCAGTTGCAGGTTCGGTGCTTCCTCTGATGCTCGTATCCTCAACGATGCAGACCTTGTCATGGTTCTAGGATACATGTGTCTCATTACTCCTTCCACCTCCTCACTCACCTGTCCAATCATATCACCAGGCCATTCAAAGATTGATTATTTGTTTCTTATGATTATTTATATATATATATATATATATGACTTACCACCCTTCTGAGCAAAGGTTCCAAGCCTGAGAGAAGGTTCTGCAAGTTTTTCGCCATAACCACTTCTCCAATCACCCTGTCCATTGGTAACATGCACGAGAGATGAAGCAAAGGAAGTTAATATGTACGCAGTCCATATATGAATGGAGGGCCTCGACTCTAAAGGAAAACGAGAGGAATTATGTTAAGGAAAGAGCGAGCAGATGAAACCAGACGTACGAAGCAAGAGTGGGTCTTGTGCGTTGGTGAGGGGGCTCATCCGGGTCTTGATCATGATCAGAGTCATCAAAGAACCGCTTGGTCACCATTAACGTTCGGGCAGATAGATCAGAAAAGTATATATAGATTGTGAAAGGATAGGTGGTTGCACTGACATAGAGAGATGAAGAAACGCGAGCAGGCGGGCTTCTCTTAATTTATAGGATAAGGGATGATCGGCTTGAATAGAAAAATAACAAAAAGTACGAAAGAAGGTTCTGGGAATGTCAGGGGAAATAGGCACGCAAGTTCAAGCACAACAACGCCGTGACCTTGAAATTGAATCCTTGTCATATGATGTAGAGACTTTGACGCGTCAACAAACACATGGAGTCAATCTATGATCTCGATCGAAAAGACATCTATATGAGCTGATATTTTGTATAATAATGTATCTAAAAGATTAACAAACAAATAAAAAGACAGATGAAACTTTCATATAATTGCGTACTTATCTTTCTAAATGTGTAGAAAATTTAAAATTTCAATTAAATATCTTGAAATTAAAATGCATGGTGATGAATAGATGAGACCTGTCATGGCATGCATAAAGATCAAACATGTAATCAATTGCCACGTGTCATGCACACACGGGCGCATGTGTAGTTGAGAGGGGCAAAAGATGCAGCAAAGATGTAATAATATATATATATATATATTTGGGTGGTGGGGGTGGAGAAGAAAGGAAGAGTCGACAGATACAATTTCGTGGCAGTTACGACATAAAAAATGATACGTGGTGGGGTATACAGTATGGTATTTGCGTGATGGAAGAGAAATGGGATTGAAGGGGTATGAGAATAGGAAAGAGATTAAATTTTGGGGTTTGGTCAAATTAAAGCGTGTTTCTGGGAAAGAAAGAAGCCGTGTGGTGGCTTCACTTTGAGGCTGACCGTCCCACAAGGATCCTACCACACCCCTACTTGTAATTAATGCTTGTTTTTACCGTCTCTTTTATGCTTTTCTTTCTAGTATTAACTTCCAGGGGGGAAAAAATTTCCTTTCAATATTTAATTTTTAAAAACTCATGCGGACAATAAAAAATAGAAACTGATCACATCATTACTAACACTTGAAAGAATATATTCCCCTCATGTTATTATTTATCTTATTCTGTCAATAATTAGTAATAATGGTATTGGACCACTAAAACCAGTTGCATGATAAAGAGTTGGGTTAAAACTTAAGAATGATTGTATTGAAAATTGATTTTTTTTTTTGGGAAAAAAAATTCAATTCAGACACTTTAGCCAAACATAATGAAAAAGAAAACCTCCTAATTGAAACTTCACTGCACCCTAAAGGGAGTAAAATGAAATTAAAATATTTAGGGAAGTAACAAAATTATTCCTCTTTTAATTTCTTTTTTTTTTTTAAGATTCTTCAGCTAGAAATGGCCAAATTTCGCAATCAAGAGACAACATCATTGAAATCTCCAAACTGGCGAGGAGCAACCAAAGGTTTTATAGAGGAAACAGAGGAGAGAAGGGGTTTGGGAAAGAAGAGTTTGATAAAGGGCTTGTGGAGTGAGAGATATGCTGCTATAGCTTGAATTGGAGAGAATGTCATCAATGACGGTTTCATGGGAGAGAGAAGAGGAAAGGGAGAATCGTATCATCCCAAAATTTAATACAAAAGTTAGATTAATTAACTAAGAAGTTTAATCAGTTAATTATGATAACTAGAGGTTAATAAGAGAGCTTGGATGGTCATTTAAGCCTATTAGACCCTATATGAGGATTAAAATATGGCTTAAGGAGCTTTTGGGTTGTTTTAAGTCCAAATTATTAGGTTTAAGTGAATTTACTTGTTTTGGATCATTCATTGTGGTAAATGATTCTTCGCACCACGGCAGATGAGATAAAATTTCAAATTCCAAGTCTACTATTCATGAACATTTATAGAAGAGGTATTTGAGTGTTTGTGAAATAGGAGAAGGGAGATCTCTGCTAAAACTTCATTTTGAAGGTCTTTAGGAGTGTTTGAAGCCTTATAATCATTAGGTAAGTCATTTCCTCTCTTCTTCTAGCACTTTTATATGTCATCGTCTTCTTCTAGGGGCTATAAGGGTAGGGTCCAAATTTGGGACCAAGTTATGTAGTACCCAAAAATAAAAATTCTTCCAATGAAAAAACATAACTCTTGATCCCTACATTTTATTCGTATTTTATTATAGGTCTCTACACTTTTTTTCGATATTATGGGTCCCTACACTTTAATTTATTAACTAAACCATAGTAGAAAAGAATTTATCATGATAAACAAAAAATAACTAATCCCTTTTTAAAACAATTCTTAAACTTGAAAACACTACCATGGTAGAGTGTGGACTGTCATGGTAGTGAATAATGAAACATAAATTATACAATATAAATTATCTTTTAAAAATGATTACCATAGTGAATAGAATTTAGCTTATTTTAACATATATTTTCAAAAGCTAGGATCTCAAGCATTTATAAATAAGAATAAGTGTGAAATGCTTATATGATCCTATATAATCTAAAACCATACAAAACAAAATAAAATAGGAATTTAGAAGCTGTTATGCATTTTGCAAACTTTTTGGAACATTTCATAAACATTTTCAATTAAAAATATGAATATATATTAATCCTGACATTCTAACATACAATGAGTTATAGTTGGGTTATAGCAACTTAACACAATTTATATAGAGAAAATTAACATAAATTCATCTAGCACTCAGCTTTGGTTTACACAATACAATGTCTTCATAAAATTATCCTCCCACATGCCACTTAAGCCAAAACATTATTTTGCCACCCTTATGCTCCCTTCAATTGCAAAACCAAAGCCAATATCCACAAATAGGCCAATTGTGATTAATGCATGTTTTGCCTTATATGGTATTTTCTACTTATTTGTTGTAAATACCACACTTTAATATACTTTAATTAAATTACTTAGTTATTAAGATTGTTTACTCTCACCCTTATTTATTAATAATCTTTCTAGGAGATGATGAGGCTAGAGGAAAGGAGGAAGCATCACAGGTAAAGAACTAGATCTTATCTCATGAAGCATATATTTCTTGATGGATGTGTGATTGATACTATTTTGTTAACACTAAGAACATTTGTATGTTTGGATTATTTATCATTTGCAAAGGCTAGTTTTGGATACCAAATGTTCCATAATTCTCGATGGCTATTGGATTGAGTTGAGATTGGCCATTAAATAGGTCATTGATTTATTTTTCTGAATAAGCACTTATATCACTTTAATCGAAGGTTTGAATAATTAATTAGGTAATTCAAAAATCATTTTGTATGTGCTATTGCAACTGGTTGGCCGTGGCGGATGACACAATAAAGTTTCAACCGTGGAGGATGTGAAGTTTGGCAATGACAGATGTGCTTTGCTGAACAGGCTACGACAAATAGTCTCTTAGTCGTAGAAGACATGCACAATTTGTTATAATGTATGTTTTGTCCTGTTAGAACCTATTTTAAATGCTCAACCTATAGTCATATTTTTGCAATCTTTTCTACTCTGATTTTAAGATATTTCAAGTGTTATTACTCTATTATTAATTTCAAACATTTTCGAGATCCCATTACTCTTTATTTTATCCAAGCTAAATGATTTAATTAATTATGATCATGGTTGATCCTTATTCAAAGGGGTTGGTTTATTAGTTGAGTTAAGTTAGGTTAATGACAAAGGTCATAACAAGAAGTTTTTTTTTATATTTAAAATAAGGTTAATGAACAACAGCTATAAAGAAATGAAAAATTTCAATATGAGAAATTTGCAACTTCATTTATCATGATAACAACACTAAGAATAAAATCAAATAAAGTTATGCATACTAACAACTCTTAATGGGAAAAGTAACAACTTCAGTATAGGCAATAAATAATTTTATTATGGGAAATTTGTAAATATTTTTTACCATGATAACAACATTAAGAATAAAATTAAGTAAAGTTATGCACACAAACAACTTCTGTAGAAAAATCTACCATTTTAGTACAAGAAATAAACAATTTCAATAAGGGAAATTTGCAAGTGTCACTTAACAGGCTTAAACTACTCCTATAAAAAATAAGTCACACTAGTTAAATGAACAACTACAGTATGCAAAATTAACAATTAGGGTAGGGGAAATGAACGATTTGAGTTTATATCGAATGAACAACTCGTGTATAGTTTTGCAAATTAACAACTTATATTAAATAAGAGTTGCAAATTTTGCATACTAAAATTGTTCATTTTTTATATTGAAATGGTTACTTTGTTTATAGGAATTATTTGTGTGGATAACTTCACTTGATTTTATTCTTTTTTATGTTATCATGGTAAAAAGAGTTACAAATTCTCCATGCTAAAGTTATTTATTTTCCATACTAAAGTGGTTACTTATTCTACAAGAATTGTTAGTGTACATAACTTCACTTAATTTTATTCTCAATAATGTTATCATGAAAAAAGAGTTACAAATTTTTCATACTAAAGTGGTTGCTTTTCCTACAAGAGTTGTTAGTATGTATAACTTTACTTGATTTTATCTTAGTGTTGTTATCATGATAAATGAAATTGCAAATACCATATACTAAAGTTGTTTATTTTCCTTCAGCAATTATTCATTAACCCTCTTTTAAATTGAAAAAAACAAGAAGATTAAGGTACAATCTTGCCCTTAAACTTCTTTCGAAGGAGCAATTTTGTTATTAAACTATACATCGTAGCAATGTTACCCTTAAACTAATCAAATCGAAACAAATATTGCCCCCACCATTTAAAAATTTGTTACTATAGCTAGTGAAACCCACTTTTTATGAATTAAGATGCAAGTTTATCCTTAAATTATTTTTAAAGGAGCAATGTTACCCTCACAATTTAAAATCATAAAATTAAATAAAAATAAAATTATAATAATATTAAATAAAAATAATATTAAATGCATATATAAAATAAATATAAGAAAAAAAATATAAATTATAATTTTATAACTTGTTAAATATAAATAAATCTTAGTTAAATTAGATATGAGTAAACTCAAAAGTACCTATATTTGCACCTATAACTATCAATATCTTTATAAAAAAAAGTCTCAAATCATATTTTATATATGTAAATTGTTCAAAAATAAATTTAACTTTTAGTAGGATCTAATTTTTAAATTTTTATTTTTTTTAAATTAAGCTTTTTTAATATTATATTTAAAACCATCAGATTTTTTGAAAACCGCTCTGGTTCCTAATTCAACTTCAGTTTTAGACTTAAAAGTTACTCAACTCTTGTTCAATCCAACTCAATCATAAAAATATTTTTTAGTTCAAATCAAGTCGTTAACGACAATTCCGGTCGATAGTTATAAGTGCAAATGTATATACTTTTTAATCTACTCATATCTAATGTAACTAAGATCTAATTATATTTTACAAGTTGTAAAATTATAATTTATAATATTATTAATTTATGATATTTTATTAACATACTATAAATTTTTTTCTTATATTTATTTTATATATACATTGAATATTATTTTTATTTAATATTATTACAATTTTATATTTATATATACATTTAATATTATCTTATTTAATATTATTATAATTTTATTTTTATTTAATTTTATAATTTTAAAATGATGAGAATAACATTGCTCCTTTAAAAATAGTTTAGGGACAAAATTACATCTTAACTCATAAAAAGTGAATTTCACTAGCTACAATAACAAATGTTTAAATGGTGAGGGAAATATTGTTATGATGAATGGTTTAGGAATAATATTATTCCTTTAAGAATAGTTTAAAAATAAAATTACACCTTAATTAAAAAAAAAAAAAAAGCCGTATCCCTTTCTTTTTCTCTCTCCCATATAAACCGCCCTTGAGGACATTATCTCCAATTTAGGCTACAGCTCCATGTTTCTCACTCTATACGCCTTTTATCAAACCCTTCTTTTCCAAACCCATTCTCTCATCCATTTCCTTCACAAAACCTCTGATTACTCCCTGCCAGCTTGGAGATTTCGATGATGATGTCTCTTGGTTGTGAAATTTGGCCATTTCTAATTGAAGAGGCTTTTTTAATTTGAAAAAAGATCGATTTTGTCATTTCTCTCAACATTTTAATTTTATTTTTACTCTCCTTAATGTGCTGTGAAGTTTCAGACTTTTAAGGGGTGTTTTTCATTTTGTTTGTTCAAGAGATCTAGATTAATTTTTTTTATCAATATATTGAAAAGGGATGAATTGTGAGAAATGTAAAGAAGAAGTTGATCATGAATTTGGATCATTTTCATACTCATGATTTGGATCATTTTCATACTCTCTCAATACATTTTTAAATATTTAATATCATCCATCCATTTCATTATTTATTTGATTTAATTGTGTCAAATTATTGGTTATGGCAATTTAATGATTATTATGATAAATCACAAAAACTTAATTTCAAAATTATTTATGAGACACTAGTGAATAATGTATTTATTTTATTATTATAATTAATAATTTAATATTATTAAATTAATAAATAATTAAATGAATGAATGTGGTTGCCTATTGAAAAATATATTGAGAAAAAGTATCGGGAAAATCTAAGTTCGGTTGAACACTGCGAAGGATTGCCAGGAGTGGGTTCCACCTCCACATAGGATGATCGAAAATGAAAGATGGAGTGTTTGACAAGACAAGATCCCCATTGGCTGAATTTTTTTTTTTTAAAAAAAAGGGGGGGGGGGTGCAAGAGAGCAGCACTCTCCTCTTTCTCGGCCCAAGAAATCCTGCTCCTACCCATACTCCACTATTTTCTTTAACACAATAAAAGTTACTTTATAATTATTTTTAAATTTCATAATATGTGCATGTAATTTTTGATAAAAAAAAAAAGATACGTGAATATAATTTTAAATTGTTATAAAATTTTTTATCTGGTTTATTTTTAGAAACTATTTAAAATAAATTCTTAAAATAATTAAATATATATTTTTAATTTTAAATAAATATTATAAAAATTTAAAGTTTTAACACGTAACTTTTAAAAAAAATTAAATAAACAGGACAGACAGCCCTGAAATTCGATAATTACATATAATTCTCTGTCTCTTCGGCTTTTATTTACTCAATCATCAAATCAAACCTGCTATGTAATACTCTAGGAAATCCCTCCCTCTTCCTTCCTGTTATCTTCAATTTCAAAATCCATCCTAATAATATGCAAGAAATTTGGCTGTTGGAGATATGATCTTGATGTATGGACTGCACTGTGACATCTAATTGTAGTAAAAAAAAAAACAAAAAAGAATTAATGACAAGATTTCAATCCTGTGTTACACAAACAAATGGAGAAAACATTGGGAATGGACAGGAGTCAGTTGAAATGCATGAGGCGAGGAGCAAAGGTAAGGAGTCAAGTGAGAGCATGAGGGGTGAACTTCCTGGCAAACAAGTGACAAAAATGGGTGGCGCGGCCATTGTACTCACAAGTCCTTCGTCCGTGTCTGAGCCTCTTCAAGAACTCCACAGTCACATGGGTTGTGATGAACCTGGAAGGATGGGCGCCACCCTTGGACCAATCAACCCAGGTCAGTGTCCTGTTGGAGTTTCTGCTCCAAAACTTGATACTCACCAGGGTGGCCAAGTAGTGCTTGCTGAACACCGCAAAGTACTGGCGGTCCGAGACCACCTCGACGGCCAGACCACGGTCTATTTGGAACCACTGCGACCCTTTTCTCCACTCTGACAGCCTCACCAGCGGCCTCATTCTCGGGGTGTACCTGCCCCGACCCACCGCCCCCGGGGCGTCGTAGGCTTCCACGAAGTTCTTTCTCGACTTCACCAGGTAATTGTATACTGTGGAGAGGTTAAACAGAGGAATGCATGACTCCGAAAGCAGAACAAAACGCCGATTCCTGAAATCTAGCAGCGCGTTGGCTAACAGACGTCTCTCTGCTTCTACCATGCTGATTTCGCCCCACTTTACCTCCTGTAATTGTTTCATCAGCTATTGTTAATTATATCGGTACTGCATAATAAAAGGGATGCAGAATATATGAATGTGTAGGTCTGGGTGTTGCATGTGATGGTGTGGAACGTGAAGGAATGAAGAAAGTTGAGTGAAGGTTGTGGAAAAGGTGGCATTTGGAAACGTAGAAGAGTGGAATTTTCTTGGCGAGCTGGAAAAGGAGTGGAATGAAAGAAAAGGATGGAATTGCTTCCCCGACTCAACAAGGAAAAGGGGTCGGACTAAAACTCTCAACCTTTACATTCTTGTGTTTACCCCCAGAATCCTTCACTGCCGTTTATCTGGGGTTAACCTTTCTTATTTACTGAGAACCATGTAATGTCTCCTGAATAAATGACACTACCATGGACGCACCTTTTTAGGTCACATTTATCTATTTGTTTTTCTTTTAGGAGAAACAGCTCATACATTTTGTAAAATCCATTAAATTAATTTTAGAGGTACACCATGTGTCGTAGGACATCATAAAATCAGAATTACTTGGAATTGAATGAAAACTGCAGTGTTTAATCTATGCATGATACCGTGCCATTGCTTGCTTCGTGGGGCAAAATAAAATGCACCCTTACCCTTTCCTTATATTTGCAGAAAATGTACGTTTATGCACCATATGCACGTTTTTTGTTATCGATCGAATTTTATCTTTTTTTTTTTAAAAAAAAAGACTCGAGAAGATTTACTTACTGGAGCAGAAGAGGAGAAGTAGAAGAAGCATGTACTGACCTTACTGGGGATTCTGCGACCATAAAACACAGAGCTTTGAGGCAGAGTTTCGTTGAAAGATGGATGAGAATGGACATAAATAGAGTAGAGGCCTTCATTGCCTTCGAAGAATCTCTCCCACAGAGGAGCCAACAGCACGGGCCCTTTTGTCAAAAACATGAACTTAACCTTGGGTTTGTGTTTGAAGGGCGGTTCCTTAATCTTTGGAACCAATGAAGCTCTCCACAGCAACTCTTGCTCGTTCATGTCATGCATAGCCTTCTGATCATCGGCTTTCAACAAATCTCGCAACCCATGTCGGGTGACCAAGGTGGTCGTCACATTCGTGCGGTTTGACGAGACAGGATGAGGCGGGGAGGGCGAAGAAGAATGAAGTTGTTGCCGGATTCGAAAGCCGAGAGGCGACAAGTCTGGGAGACAGAAAGCAAGTGCGATTCCAACGAGTAAACCAGAGCCGAAGAGCAAGAGATGAGAAAAGAAGTTAACAAGGTGGAGTTGGGAATTGAAGGAGAGCCTGAGCTTGAGATATGAGACTGAGGACGCCGGTGAAGCTTCTTGTTGGCGAGTCTTCATTGTCACGATGATGGCGAGAGAGGCTGAGAAAGCGACTGCTGGTTGATGGGGTTATAGAGTACTGCTGTCGTTGGCGAGACAGATTTCTGGTTACCATACAGAAGGCTCACTCTGGACTCAAATAGATTCTTAAATTCGTCACCAAACAATACCATATTCGGTATTTTATAAAATAACTCTTAAGCTATGACGGATCAGCATAAATTTATGACTAAATCATCCGCGTGCATATGCATTCGGAAATCATACTTTTCGCAGACAAATGCGGCATGCACTTCTATGATATTATCTTATTTTGCGAAATGACTCAATTTGAATGTAATTTACTCATGTTAATTTTTAAAAAATGTAAGAGAAAAAAATTGTTCCAACTGTTAGTATTTTCCTTTTAACATACTTTAAAAAAGTTCGAAATTGTAAATAAATTCTACCTTTAACAGAAAAGGTCGATTTGGTTAGTATAACGTCAGATTTTAACTTGGTGAAGGGAATCGTACGTATTAGGAAATTGGGTATTACAGCACATAACATTTAGCCGCTCACAACCTTCTTAAAAAAGAAAGATATGGCAGGCAAGCCTAATCTCCGTGGTAAGCTTTTGAAGGCTTAACCTTTTCAGGTTTTGGAGTTAAAATGGTGAATCCAAGGAGGGGACAAAAAGAAAAAAGAATGGCAAATTGAAGGTGGAGAAAGGGCAAAAAGGTTCCTGCACGGTTGTATTGAATCAAACAGAGAATGAATTGAATGGCCAAGGCCGCCGCCATTTGTTCATCATTATTAATCAAGCTGGAATTCTAGATAATTAACAAAATGCTGTATGGTATTTATAATTCAAAGCAGTGTCACACCATAACTATTCCCTATTATCTCTCACTTTTTAAGTTTAACCCGAATCATTACAGAAGCAGCCGTCAAGCTTCTGAATGAATAACTAGAACTAAAAAACAGAACGATACAAATCTGATTTAGAGTATCCAAGTCCGAGAATAATGCAAGCGGATATTATCAGCCCAGTCGTTAGCCATGTTAATGATGCGACTAGGAATGCTTTGTGTTCGTTAACGACTGCGTACAACTTACTTCTCCTCTGACTGATTGATCCTCCATTGCCAAAGATCATTTTTTTTTCCCGGTGTTTCTTCTCCTCTGCTTTTTCTTTCAAAAAAATTAATCAAACTTTTTTTTTTTGTAAATATTTAAATTCAAAACACTTATCCAAATTTATTTTCGCCTTATAAAAAAACACTTATCCAAATAATTTTTTTATTTTTAAAATACTTTTTAAGAAAACATAAGTTTATTATCATGCCCAAATGCATAAAATTATAGTGATCGCATTTCTTTGTTTTCAAGTTGAAAAAGACTGAGGATGCATTAATTAATTAGAAGTTTATAGGCCAATGCAAGAACTACTGTCAAATGTTCCATCTTCTTCCGTGTGTTATTTATTTATTTTGAATTGAAGTTACAAAACATTCCATGAATTAAATTCAAATTTGCATCTTACATCATGGGTTTGTTTAACATTGCCCCTCATTTTGTCAATTGTCTGATGAGTTATATCACATATTTTTCTAGTAAAACACTACTTCCTCCATCTTAATTTCTAAGATATTTTTTAAAAAATTTACCGTCTCAAAATATAAAATACTTTTTAAAAAATAAAATTTTATTAATAGGCTTATTCTAATATTACCTTTTCTCTCTCTATTTAATACTAGTTAAATATAGATTTAAGGTTATTAAATGAAAAATATTTTTAAAAGTTTATATTTTTATTTTTAAAAAATAAGGTTGTTAAGTATATTTAATTAGGGTTATTGATATGTAAAATTTTATTTAAAATATTTTATAATTTAAGATGCAAGGAGTATTAATTATTTTTTATATTAGAAATCCTATAATGAGATATTTAAAATTTGATTCAATTTTTTTCATGCATCAGTAAAAGGCATGTATCGAGTAAATAAGTTAAGGTGCTTTTGACAAGCCTCAAACTTAAACCTTAAAAAAAAAAATAATATATATATATATATATATATAGTCATTTTATAATTGAGAATTCCTATTATCTTGTCTTGTCTCTTGAATTTATTCTTTTTTCTCTTATCTCTCCATTTCTTTTCTTTTTTATTCTCCCTTCTCCTTTCCTCGGCTTGTATCAATGTTTTTATTTAGAAAAAAAGAAAATTTTTGAAACATTTAAATTCAAATGACTAATCCAATTTTTTTATTTTTAGTAATAAAAAAAATAATTTGTAAAGTCAAAAATCAATCACATGTTGATGTATAAGATTATAATGATCATATTTCTCCTTTTAAGTTGGAATGAAGTCAGAATGCATTAATTAGTTAGAAGCTTATGGGTCAATAGAAGGACTATTGTCGCGGATTTTCAAAATCTTGTGTGTTTTTATTTATTTATTTATTTTGAATTGGAAATTACAATGCATACAAAACATCAAATTTAAATTTACATCTTGCATCATGGGATTGTTTAGCATCCCCTCATTTTTCCAAGTATCTGATAAGTTAGAGCACATAATTTTCCACTAATATACTATTAGTAATTTTTCATATTACAAATCTTTCAATGAGATATTCAAAATTTGATCCAACTTTTATTAGCATCAATAAAATGCATATACCTGGCAAATGAGTCTTGGGTTATTGATAGGCTTCCACCTTAAACCTAAAAAATATTATAGTGATCTTACATTTAAGAATTGCTATCATCTTATCCCAAAAAAAAAAAAAAATTGCTACCACCTTATCTTGTTTCTTGGAGTTTCTCTTTTCCCTCTAGTTCTCTCCTCTCTCTATCTCTCTCTTCTTTTTTATTATCCCTTTCTTCTCCCCACATCTTGTATCAATGTTTTTACCTAAAGAAGCAAAAAATGAGAACTATTTTTGAAACATTTAAATTCAAAACTCTTATCCAATTTTTTATCTTAAAAATAAAAAATAATTTTAAAAGTAAAAAATCAACCACACCCTGATGCATAAGATTATAGTGAATTAGTGATTGTATTTCTTTTTTTATGTTGAAACAGAGCCCTACAAGCATTAAATAATTAGAAATTTACAACCAATGTAAGAAGTATTGTTTAAGATTCCCAACTCTTAATTTATTTATTTATTTATTTTGAACTGTAAATTACAATACTTACCATAAATTAAATTCAAATTCACATCATACATCATGGGATTGTTTAACATTCCCCTTTTTGTCAAGTATATGATGAATTATAGAACATAATTTTCTAATAAAATACTATTAATTATTTTTATATTGAAAATATTTTAAGGAGATATTGAAAATAAATTTTATAACGTATTAGATTATAGCACATAATTTTCATTTAATTTTATAACTTCTAAAATATTCTCATATTTGTTTCTTGGGTTAAGATTGAGGCTGATCAAGAGCCTTAACTCATTTGCCTGGTTTAGGCTTTCTATAATTAAGAATTACTATGAGAGTGTTAGTCCTAAACTCCCTTTTCTCTCTTATGTGCTATCGTTCTGTATATTTTTGCTTTTCTCTTCCCCACTCCCTTCAATTTTTTTAATTTTTTTTAAGACAAAATGAAAACAAATTTAAAAACATTTAAATTTAAAAAAACTTATCTAAACATTTTTTTATTTTAAAAAAGAAAAATAAATTTTAAAAACAAAAATCAATCAAGACCTCATATATAAGATCATGGTGATGATATTTCTTTATTGTCAAATTGAATAAGAGTTAGAATGCATTAATTAATTAGAAACTAATCACCCAATACAAAATTATTGTCTAAATATACTTCCAATCTCTTTTTTGTTTTATTTTTTTATTTTGATTTATTTTAAATTGGAAATTACAAAACATACCATGAATTAGATTTTAATTTACATCTTACATCATTTAACTGTACAAAACACTCTTAATTATTTTTTATATTGGAAATTCTTTGAGGTATTAAAAATAAATTTTATAATTGAAGCATATCCCGTTTTAATTATTGTAATATTACATTTATTTAAATTATGGTTATCTTTTAGAATTTTCTCAAGTATTATAATATTTTAAAAATATTTTCACTTAATTTTAAAATTTTTTAAAAATATCCTCGTATTTGAGATTATTGTTATCTTTTCAGGACTTTTATTTTACGAAAGAAGATGCAATTATAGAAACAAATTCTAACCAAGGTCATTTTGAATTGTAAAGCTCCCAACAATGATATTTGTTTTCATAAGGAGATAATAATGGAATTTAGATATATTTAGTCAGGAAATAATAATGGATGAGAATTTATTTAACAACTTTTACCTTGCAAGAGAGCTAAATTTAGTTAAATTCATTATCTCTCCGTTTAAAAATATAATGTATTTTTTGAAGAGTTAGATGCTCAAAATATAACACATTTTTAATCTTTCAAAATGTAATAATTACCTTTTTTTTTTCAAAAACACTCCTATTAATAGTGACTTTATATTTATTATAAGATGTTTAATAGAGATAAATATAAAAAGATAGGATTAATTTAAAAGTAAATAACTATTTTATTGAAGGATAAAATTTAATTAAAAATACTTTACATTTTTAAACAAACAACTCTAATAGAATTGACAATATTTACCCACTTTCCATTGCCAACCAGATTTTGCAATTACTTCTACATTCCGGAGAACTTGCTCAATTTAACATTTTTCGTTCACGAATCTTCAACCGCTTTGCGTACATGATCGCCTTTCCGATGAGAAAGAGTTACGTAGTACGGGCAAAAAAAAAAAAAAAAACCAACATAACCCGTGTTCGATGGAAAAAACTTTATACATTGCAATAATTTTGTAACTCAAATGGATAAATTAGATGCTGCATTTTGAATAAAAGTTGATATATTTTTTCAGTAGCAGCTCGACGCTAACCAACCTAAATAATAAAGAAAAATAAACAAACCATTGCATAATTAAATATTAAATAATTGTATAAATGGGATAATAAACAACCATAATTCAGCAACATCCAAAATTTGCATTTTAATTTCTTAAGTCAAATATAGAGAAATAAATATAAACATAT